AAGTCCGATGATATTCAATGAAGTTTAATGAATTCTGTTTAAATGGATTGAAGTTACTAAAGTCATATGCAATCATCATTTAACTTTAACATTTAATTTTTAGTACAAACAAATATATAAATTTAATGATTATTTTTGTTGTACATTCTTTTGAAACGGAGTTGTTTAAAGTAAAGTATACACCTCTGGATTAATGCTCGTCCTAGTCTTGGACTGATTGCATACCTCACTTATTACAGTTTGTTAGTGATCGAAAATGAGTCAAAACTTTTCTGTTCACGACCTACCTATGTAGGTACCGTTTTATTTTACGGAATCATATTATTCACTTTCATGCTACTTTATCTCACATAATAACATTTATTTTGCGAATTAAAACTCGGTATAAACAATAAAATAAACCAACACCATTCGAATTTTGAAACTTAACTCTTTAAGCTTGACGTTATCTTTAGTCGACGCCAGGATTAATAGTATTTCATCTGACTTTTTTGTTAATTAAAAGACTTAATTATATCGGATTTATGCTTTAAATATTAAGCATGTTTAAAGTTGAGTGCTTAATAAAAGTTAGAATTGGGTATATGACGATTTTCTGAAAACTAATTAATTAAAATAGTTGTTTGATACATTATAAACACACTGTCAATATATTACATGAGAATCTGTTCTATTTTCGATGAATATAATTGTTTAAATCTACAGATTCTAAGAAATAAACTTTTATTAGATTATTATCTAACATGATGATAATAGTACGAAACTTATTTTTATAGTGTCAAATACCCATAATGATAAAAATATTAATTATAAATTCGCGGTTCGGGTATTTTCCCTTATAGCTTAACACTTAGGTATGCACTTTCTTAATGTAGCTAATATTCGGGTGTTTCGTCCGTATTTTAAAACGTTCGAATAAGAATATAATAGATTCATTACGTACAGAAATGATAAAAAAATGAAGGAATGAATAATCATTAATCGTCTCCCGTTTAACTAATAATTTCATTTATTTTATTCTGGTAACACTAATGACACTGTTTGGTTCGGCTGCGATTTGGCTCCGATTACGTTTCAGTTTAGTAAACGTTCGTTTGATAATTTACGTTAGCGGAATGCAAATTTACAGCAAAAATCGAAACGTAACCGTTACAGAAACGCTATTGATGATCGATCGTTGTAAATTAGTAGAATTGGCCCCCAGGGCGACAAACTGCCGCATAGACACACGCACACTATGCAGTCTTCAAAAGTAATGAACAGCACGTAATAGGGTACTGTAAATCCCATATCTCATCAATATACCTAATAACAGTCAAGAATTGCGATCCACGCAAAAGTTGCTTAACAACAATGATCGCGGGCTGCGTCGCAAATCCGCTACATTACCGCGCTGCTCATCTGTGTACCGCGCCCTAATTACGGTATTTTATTTTGTTTTCTATCGATGTGTCTATGTGACTTTTTTATATTTTTATTTTGTCATTTTTGAACTGATACAATGACTTTGTAATTTTTAGCATCTATCTTAAACCGTAAACAGAACAAACCCACTTGCGAAGTTTGAGCGATTTCTGCTTATCTCACCATCATCAGCCCTTTCACGTCCTCACTGCATGGGGCTCAGGCCTTCCTTATGGATGGTTAAGGAGGATGGGCCATGACCCTCCACGCTGGCCCAATGCGGATTGGAGGTTATTAATGACTGCAAATGCACCCGGGACCAACGGCTTAACGTGCGTTTCTAAGCACGGAGTAGCTCGAGATAATAATATTTTGGTCACCCATCCCGTGACCGACCCTAGCGAAAGTTGCTTAACGACAACGATCGCGGGCCACGGCGCTTATCCACTACGCCACCGAGCTTATCTCACTGGTTGATAAATAATTCTCAATCCACATTCGCGTCCTAATCATTCAATATAAATGAGCCATTAGCGTCCCTCTGTCTATTTACCTACATTCATCTAAGGAAGTACAGATGAGGAACTATATTAAATCATACTTACCGCTTAAAATAACTACAGAGGAAGGCGTTAGACATCATGTTCAATATCAACACACGACATTGATACAATTGGGCCACTTGGGTAGTGGATAATGGGTTATGTGCTTGTATCCAGCCAGAATCCAGCATCTTAACATTGTTAGTAAAAAAAAAGTCGTTTTGGACCCTCTTTCGGAAGATGTAAAATAAAAATTTGACACGACATGACATTTTTAAATATGACCAAGGTGTTCACATCACTGATATGAACTTCAGGTTGATTTTAATATTTGAAGCCTCTTTTTTAATTGATCGTACCGTTTAAACTGATATGTCACGCAAAATCAATTCTTGGCACACAAATTTATGGGGTGTCCATTAATCACGTGAGGCTCGAAAGAGTGGGAGGGGTATTTGACGTGTATTTATTTTGTTTTGAATACGTGATTCCAACCGAAATGCGCTTCGCAACATTGACACAACGGCAAACGATGTTCTCGTCCGCATATACAAAGTATCTTAGGTTTTTGTCCGAATATTATATATTAGAATTCCATGTGATCAGATTTAAAAAACATCATGTGATTAATGGATCCCTGATGCGGAAGCTTCAATTTCAACAGCGTAGGTTAGTTATGGGTGCTCCTTCCCGGGTGCCACTCGCAAACGAGAGTATGCTCAAGGTTTTGAGTGGACAGGCCTGCTCTCTTTGATCTGCTCAGTGAACCTGGCAGGAATAGTGCGTAACTCATTTTAAGGTTTAATGATGATTCTTAGCTCTAATTTATGTTGAAAATTTGTATCAGCAACATGGTAAAACTGGAATGTCTTTACTGCAGTACACGTACGATAGCACGATAACTGGAGAAACGTTTTTACTACATCTTTCTGAGATATTGTTTACGTGTTTATGTGTATCTGTGTTCTAGGATAAGACAGAAGTAATTACTTTAGGTAGATATTAAAGAGTATGTTTTCAAGTTCCCTACTTTTTGGAATTTTCCTTTGTTTTGTTTTTTTTTTCAACAACAAAAAGACCCGAGAACTTCTTTGCTTTAGTTGCTTTTTTTATCATCTAACAGCTAATTATAAAAGGTTCCTTCACAAAGCATGCAACTTTAGCGACAATTACCCAATTAAAGTGTTCCTGAAACTCTGACCACTTGACGGCAAATTGGATAATTTTGACGTTACGCTAAATATAGACATGAGCTATTTCAAAGGCAACTGTGGGTATTGTTGAACTTCCCTCTATACGAGTAACTTTGAGCTAACTAAAAGTTTGGTTTGTTTTAGTTTTCGAAGTACATTCGTTTCTCTAATTGAAATCCTTATTCGACTTTACTACATAATATAAAATAACCAACTGTTAGTTGTGATAAATTCTGCCACTTATAAAGAGAAAAAGTTTCTAACTTTATTCGTTTGTAAGGGCTAATCTTCGGAAATACTGATGATGAATGTATTATATCTAATACGTTAAAACAACACTGTTTTGTATCGTAGGTACTTATAAAATCAAATAGGAGAAGTGATTTCTATATAATTCCAGATTTTCTTATCATATTTGCTTTAATGGCATAGCTCTCATTACTTAATTAAATTATTTGTTGATAAATCATGTTTAATATTAAACATGGATACAATCACCTATTGCAGCTATTATTTGGTTGCAACTATTCGACATTTGGTATAAAATATATTATATGCCTTTTGGTTATTTAAATCATTTACTTTCTTAATGAATAATGACACATGAAAATTCTATATTGTTTTGTAAATATATACCAAATTCAATGGTTTGCATCCCACAATATTTTAATTTTCATTTCACATCTATACTCCTCTTTATATTATAAATAAATTAGATTTTTTGTTTGTTTGCATCGAATAGGTTCCGAAACTACTGGATCGAATTTAAAAATTCTTTAATCCACGGTTAACTATATAATACGTGGGCTATATTGGCTATAATTTAAACAGGCAAGTTCCCGGGCTAACAGCTGATATCATAAACTCAAACAACGAATGTTGTAGAAATTTCTTTAGGTAGGTATTAGTTTCTGCTGCCAACAATCCCTTATCATTTCCAACTACGGACGTTTCCACTGTTGTCCAAACATTTGTGTTTAGCCGTGCCCATAAACAACTTAAACAGTTTTAATTCATTAAGCCTTTTATTTCTATAATCACCCCTATTGTACTCAAAATAAAGATTATTACGGGGAAGTGTTCAGTGTATTATTTGTAAAAGATTATCTGGCGCCGTCTACGTACTGTTTCTGTCGATTTATTTGCAATTGACTTAACAGTGATGTGATGTATACGTATGCAAAACATGCACACGCTTTATGATTGGCTAAATATAACTTTATATCATTGTTATTTAGTGCTATTTTTAGTTAACATTATTATTGTAATAAATGAGTTTGCGTTTTTATAATACACTTATTTTTTATAGCTTATAGCACCCACGTATAATGATTTTTATTGCTCCACAAAAACTGTATTTTACAAAACTTCTTAGTGGAAAAGATAAAATACAACTTTACCGATAACCAAGGAATAACACTAAATTTTGTGTATAACATTATTGTGTATAACGTTCCTTGGTCTATATTATATGATTTCTGTGACTGTGGAAACTCTATTTTATTAAATATTTGATTTTATTATAATTTCTCAGTGAATGTGGCCAAATTAATAAATATTTTAAAAGTTATTGTTGTTGTATTTGGTAATTAAATTTTATAGGTACTTTAGAAAATTACTTTGTTTTCACGTCAGTTCATGGCCTGTTTATAGAAAGTACAATATTAAATAAATAAGTATTTCGTACACTTAGAACAAAATATACCTACGTATATTAAATAGAGTTTTTCTTATTAACCTGCCGTTCCAAACTTTCCGTACTATTTATAAGTAAGCAGTCATATACTCAAATCAATGGATTTAATAGATAGGATCATTTGATTTTGTGAGTGAAAAATCTAAAAAGTATATTGTTTTACAGATCGTCGGTTACTCCGTGGTGATCGCAACGTTTTCCCTGCAGGCGCCCATAAGATGGGTGACCGCTCGATTGCACGGTGCCCCTCGACTGTTACTTGCTGACGTCTACCACCTGATCTCCTTCGTTGCCACCGTCAACGTCTGGCGTGGTTTCTGGGGCATGCTCGATGTTTATTTATTTCCTGGTAAATATCTTTTGTTTTCTGAGTAGCTCGGTTGCGTAGTGGATAAGCGCCGCGGCCCGCGATCGTAGTCGTTAAGCAACTTTCGCAAGGGTCGGTCACGGGATGGGTGACCAAAAAATTATTATCTCGAGCTACTCCGTGCTTCGGAAGGCACGTTAAGCCGTTGGTCCCGGCTGCATTTGCAGTCGTTAATACCCTCCAATCCGCATTTGGCCAGCGTGGAGGGTCATGGCCCATCCTCCTTAACCATCCATAAGGAAGGCTTGAGCCCCTGCAGTGGGGACGTAAAAGGGCTGGTGATGAATCTTTTGTTTTATTCTCATATGAGATAAAAAAAACTTGTTATTGTAAAAATAGTTGTCAATAAAATACTAAACGGGTACAGCACAATTATAAATAAATCAAACGAAGGACTTCTATTTAGCTCTCACAAGTGTAAACAAATAATTTAAGTTTTTTTTCTCTCACGGCTCGTTATTTTCTTTAGAATTCGCCCCACTTAGAAGAAATCATTCTAAGATCTAGCTAATTCATTTGAGATCTGACCATATATTTCTTAGATTCAAAATGAACTGGTGTTATCTAATATTAATCCCACAAGAGTTAACATTAATAATATTAGACCTAGATTTTCTTTATTTATTTAATTGTAAATTTAGATAAAAACGGGAATTATAAACAATTATTCTAACCGAAATTGCCTACTTACAAAAAATAAACAAACTAATGTAGCATACGACTACACTGTCCTTTAGTCATCTCTATTATAATATAGCTATAGCTATAAAATAAATGTCTTGTTTCAAACTTTCAAGAGCGTGTTTTAGCTGTAGTCGGTTAAGATGCTTCTAATGATACCTCTTTTCTCAAGTTACGATGAGTAGTTTCTAAGTTATATGGAAACAGATGAAAAATTCTTACATACATACCGGCCAAAATCATAACTCTCCTTTTCGGTTCGCTGTAATCGGGTAATAAATTATCAATTTTACTATGAAAAATATATGGTAAGACTAAGCATCTCGCGTACTGGAACGTACTTCATATTTATCTATAATAATATTATAAACAGGTGATTGTTTGCATTGAATAGACTCCGAAGCTACTGGATCGATTTTAAAAAATCTCTTACCAGCGGGCAGCCTCATCGTAAACGGGAGACATAGACTATAATTTACACGGGTGAAGGCGCTGGTGGAGTTCCATACAGAGAAATATGATATCTGTTTTATATCTAGATTCTATTAAGTACTGCTTATATTAAGTATTTATTTTTTATTACAGAATCACCAAAATTCAGCAACTGGTGCACGCACATCGTTAGTATAGTGCTCCTGATGTTACTCAACTGTTCGAACTCGGTGCTGGTGCGAGGTGTGTACATCGATGCCGAAGAGCCAGCAGGCGAATGCGTTGTGTTCCCATGCCATTATCTCAGGCTTTTCTTCCATAAAGAGAGAACGAAGAAGAGACACAAGCGGGCCCTGGCAACTGCCGCGGCAAGAAAAACAGAAGAATCTAGTGTACCTTTACAAAATCCAGAAGAGAAAGTTTAGTAGATGGATTCGTTTTCAGTTAACAGTTCGAAGTGCTGTAGACTTATGTTGTTGTTGTTTCGTTGTAATGGGGCACCCCAGTGATTGCATTTGATGTGTGCAAGATTGTTGTTCTTCTTGTTCATTTCTAGCTCAGAAATAAATGAAATCAGTATAGAGAAAAATCGACATTCCACATAATCTTGCTACGATATGCATATGGACATCCAAATTGCTCCTTTTTTGCTATAAGAAGTTGTATATGGCTGGTCTTATTCTAGCTACCTCAATACTACCAAGAACGTGAACATGATAACCTGGAGGTTTACTCGTAAATAGATTCGCGTTAATCTGCGTTAATATAGCCAGTTTTTACATTCCTAAACAAATAATATCATGTAGCGAAAAATCGAAAACAATTTAATAGAGTAGTAGTTTTGATACAAAGTCTACTAAAAAGTACTATACTAAATGACCATAGAATCTATTAAACATGAAAGTTTGTTAAAACTTCGAAAGACTTTTTTACAGTTATACGAAGCTATTTATTCAAATAAGACAACAGTATTTTTTTCTATATCGGAGCTTGGCAAATTTTTGTGTACCTTTCCGAATTATTTGTCACCGAGAATAGATTAGGTTTAAACGTTATAATGAATTATGTATACTTAAAGAAACTATCTTTTATTATTTTATAAAAATGCTATTTTTAGTGTCGAATGGATTGTCTCGTTTGTTCTAAGTCATTCTTTATACTTTACAAGGTATTTAAGATTTATTTTTAGCTGATGTAAATAAAATCTTTAGTAGTTAAGTGAATAAACATCGCCAATTGTAATTATATTAATAAACGATTTCAGTAATGTTTAAATGAAGTTTTATTAATACTCATTAAAACTGCGGCTATATCAATTTACGAATAAAGTTAAGACACGTTTAAAAATCCTCAAAGTATATATTAATACCATAATCACGCTAGGCTTTACAAAGAACACATGTAAACTTTAGTGTCTATGATCCAAACTGCTAATAGATAATACAAATCCAAAAAGTATAAAAGCAAAAAGAGGTTGCCTTCAACAACATTTATTAAAACGACTTCTATTAACTATGTTATTATTATTATAATATTTAATCAATTTTGCATTCATGATGCTGTACTGAAAAATATTCTTAATGAAAATAAAAAAAAAACATATATATTTTATTATTATTGAATATTGGATATTGTGATGTCATTCTGATAAGACTATGAATAGAAATGAAGAGTGTGTGAATTGATAAATAGAATTTGAGGTGTAAAGAGGTATGACAAATTAGTTTCATTATAATTAAATCACTTTAGGATCTGTGGGTAATATAAACATATAACTTTTGTTTAATTAAGGCTATAAAGTAGTAAATGAAAACATAATTGATAATATAATATTATTGTAGTGGCAATGTAAACTTATTTTCGATATAAAAATGTCCATAATTATGACACGTACGTATTCTGATCGTATCATCTATCAGAATGGAAAGCGCCGAAAGAGATGAGTTATTTTAGAATTATTTGTATTCGTCGTTATAAAGATATGAACATCGCACACATGACCTGTCATTGATATGCAATGTGTAAAGAGAATTCGTTTCTTTTTCTCTCTGATAGAAGTGCGATAACAAATTAGATTTGTATAAAAAAAAATACTTCCATGCACGGATATGATATTTTCTCATCTCCAAAACATTAGTACAATTAACTAGCTGCTTTCGTCAGCGCAAATTATAATCATAAAAACCTATGTTCAGTGGCGTAGCGTGCCTTGGCGGGGCCCCGTATAAAAAATTGTTTGAGAGCACTTATGATTTCTTACAAAAGAAAGTAAATGACTTTAATGAAGATATCATGCAGCCCGCGAAAACCGACGTGGGGTGTTGTCAACTTTGAAACGCATGATTTACGCGGAAAAAAGAAACCGCTTTTTTTGACTTTTGTAATTTCTGAAATTAAAAGAAATTTGGGAAGTTTTTATTAATTTTTGCTTATGCACGTTGGGGGCCCTCGTAGTCCGGGGGCCCCGTATAATTGATACGGCAGATACGGCAGTAACTACGCCCCTGCCTATGTTACCCGCGAATTATGTGGATTCCCGTAGGTGAAAGAGTTTTCAAAATCATTCTAGTAGTTTCGGAGTATATTCAATTAAGTTCTTCCTCTTTATAACAATCAAAGCTTTTGGCCAGTTGCGCAAACATCCATTTAAATAGTCATTAGTCCAAACCCACATTACCAATTTAATTTGTCATTAATTAGAGCTTAAAGACGTCATTAAAGCTTAATGGACGTTCGTGCAATTGACCGTAAGTCACATAAAAGTAACATGTAAATAAACTAAAAGAAACTGTGAATGTGATTACTCATATCTACGTTTTAATTGATTATTCATTGAAACCATTAAATAATTTTTCTCCAAGTAATTACGATTCGTGTAAGTAATAAAAATCACTTCCTTCGAGTCCAAGAATAGAAAATATTTATAGAGCATTGGAATAAAACAAGGGTCCTTGTCCTGACATCAGAGTGCATCTATACTCATCTACACAATTTGACCCTTATTCCAATTATCTTAAAGCCCTTAATGAAGACTTTAGAGTACAACTTTCATTGGAACTAATTCATTGAGCCGCTCAACAGATACTGTTATCGTGAATTACGTTCGTTTTTATCAGAAAAGTGAATTGCATACTTAATTGTGCTAAAAATATTTATTTACGGATCCATATCTCAAAAAGATCACGGTCAAAAACTCCATCTGCAGTCGTTGACACCCATAAATCCGCATTCGGCCAGTCGTGGTCCATTATTCGTATTCGATTGCTATATGACGGCCTATGTCCCGACAGGGGACATTAACAGACTGGTGACTGGTGAGTGTGGGCTTCTAAACGTGTATTTATATGTATGTATGATTAACCACATATTTCTCACAAAATTGACCGTAATAGTTCTTTTTTATTTTATTGTGGTAGTTTTATTAAATCAATTTGATAATTTTGAAGATAGAAAACTAAGTATTAAAGAGCAAAGGAAAAACTGATTCAAAGTGTAAAAATAACAGGAAAAACTATGCTTAAAAAAAGATTTGACGGAATTCACGGTGGAAGAGTTCGAGTTGTTCTTGACTTCACTGCTAATAATAATACTCAACATAATCTTTAAAATAATTTATAAAAACCATGCCCAAAACTTCATAATAAAAAAAATGTGTCGCAAATAAATTAGAACTTTATATTAAAGTAAAAGGTCTATTCCTTTTCCTAAATGTTTTGTGGTTTCAGTAAACAAACTAGAATAGGAATCTACTCTTAGTTTCTAGCAGTGCTACTTGGAGTAAATTTACGGTGAGACTGCTCCTCATATTAGTCAAAATTCATATTAGTAAACATAAACTTAACAAAGTTTAACCTAGTACGAGGTTCTACGGGAGTAATATTTGCTCCTAAAAGGCAGTAGATTTGCTTATTATCTGTATAATATGGACTAATACTAAAATTGCAATTTTTAGCGTAAATTTACTCTGACTCTAAACCTTGTTTATAAGTAGCACTGTACGAGTATTCACGATATTTATAGCAAAACAATTGAACGAATATTTTTAGAATATAATATTATTTTATATAAATATACCTGAAACGTCAAACAGGTTACATCACTTGTTCTGGCGGGTCGCTAATTACATAAAAATTCACCGCGAATTACAATGTCGTATAAAATAATAAAAATATTTAACGTTAAAAACTTAATTCTTTAAATTTAAACATTAAGTTTCAGAATCGTATGCTGAAATCGGTGTAGTCGAGTCGAGCCAGATACTCCCAGTTGGTGAGTTCGCACTTCTCTATCTTGCAGCCTGGAGAACCTGTTGTCTTCAACCAGTCAATCCTGAAAAACAATTATATTAACAATTAACAATTATCTTGTTATTATTTCCTATTGATGGCAGAAAAATGTAGAGAGAACAAGTTATAGCCGCCACGATATCCAATATAATTGGTAGAAACTCAGTTAGTCCTTTTTTTGACTCAGTGAAAACTTGTTACGTACTATCCCCTAGTTCTTAACCAGGACTCAGTCGTGTCCTGTCTTTTACGTGTCTAACAAAGCACAGAGGAGTTCTAGATAATATGTTTTGTTCCAGTAACTCCTCCGCAATGGACCTTTTTTTTGCAAACTTGCGTAATCATAGAGTTCTGTAAAAAAATTTACGTTGTATTTGATGTCTATAAGAATTGTCATAGCATAGAGGTTCAATAAAATCAGACCTACACTTGAAAAGGTAATAAAGATTTAATTTAAACCTCCATGTGATAATGCTGTACTCAACATCGGGGCTGTTTTCATTAGAGAATAATATTGCAGAGCTTTTACTCTACAATCACAATAAGTAGTTACGCAAGTTTTGCTAAGTCCGATCGGGATCACGAAAATTAAATAACTACTCGTGCCTCTTCAAGCACATTAAGGACAAAATAGGACTGATTTCTGTGCCTGCAGGTGTAATAGCCATATATTTTGCAGGACTCTGCAGTCATTAGTCCACGACACAAAACTGGCTTATCGTGGTGGCATGGTCAGTTCTCCCTTTGTCAATCTAGTCATTAGAAACTCTTAAATATGTAAGGAATGTGCAGACCAATGCTAACGATCCCTTAGTTAGTATGGTAATAGTTTGCGAATTACTTGTTCTAATGATCGATGACAACTAATTAGCAGTACCACAGGGCAATATGATGGCGTTTTTGGCATCACTCTCCATAATTATCGAGACGACGCGACGACATGTTATCAGTTTACAATGATGCTGTATGTCTCAGAACTTTACGGAACCTTGGATTCGCTCCAAGTTTCGTCAAGATATTTTACGAAAAGACACATTGATTCACTTTATTGGTTTATATAAAATACATTTAAAATTGTATATTTTGGTAGTTTTATGCATGCATTGAACTACTATGAATTAGCGACCTATTTAATACTACAAAAAATATAATGTAATGAGTCGATAATTCATGCATAGAACTGCATAAATGATGTATCATTAGGATATATTTTGATAAATATGCCTCAATATATATTTATGTATGCCAGCAAATTAAGTTCACCCGCTGAGTTTACGGAGGCATGCTCTACAAAACCTCGTCACTTGTCATTGGGCGGGGTGTATGTTTTCCCTAGGATAAAAACAGGCTTAATCACTCACATGTGGTCCAATACAGCTTTGTTTCCTTGTATTTTGCCAACGATGGTGCCTTTCTTGGAATTCTTTACCCATCCTGTGACGCCTATCTGTTCCGCCAACTCCTTGCAGTATTTAGTGAAGTAACAACCTACCAATTTTAAACAATTATTGAACTTGGAACATACCTTAAATTACAATTATCAAGTATCAATAGTTTTTGAAATACACCGTGGATGGACGGACAGACGGGCGTGGCAAAACAAATCATGAAAGCAAATACAAACACGCTGAAACCGTTTAAAGGTCTTTCATTTAACGAATAGTGCGCGTGAAAATATAAGAAATCGGTATATGAACGCCCTAAACACATTGATATTTATATTATTATTCTAATTATGTATCCCACTCAAAATATTTTCATGTAAAGTATTACCAAGCTGAGATCGTGTGACTCGCAATGTCTTAGGTTATCAGATCTCGTATAGCCGATTCAAACTTTACACGCCATAACCTTACAAGACAAGATCGAACCGGATAACCACTGAACCATCGAGATCCTTAATCACGCCTTATATCAATTATATCACGTGCATTTATGCGGAAAGCTAACTATTTGGACAAATAGTTAGCTTTCCGCATAAATGCACGTTTGTGGCTAGGTTGTGGCATTACAGTTGTGTCAAAAAGTATGAGTCGCTTGGAACGTTTTAAAAATCAATTAGATAGTAAATTATATCATTTGAAACATAAAAGTAATCCCAATGATGATTACAAAGATTTCTTCGATGTTTATTGTACAGAATTCAATAAGACTTTTGTCCCAAAAAAGAATTGTATTAGTAATCCTATAACTTTAAGTGAGTGGGCTACACCAGGATTCTATATAAGCAGAAAAAGGCTCTATGAACTATATGATGAACGTAATAATAACACAAGTGAGGCTTCAAAAAATATATACGAAATTACTCTAAATTATTTAAAAAAGTGTGTCGTTTAGCAAATAAGTCGTTTAGCTGATTTATGGGGTAATTCCATTGAAGTTTCTAAATCGGCAATTGAAACGATAGCTCCAATCCTAGCTTATATATTTAATGAATGTACTGATTGTGGTATTTTTCCTGAGCTCATGAAATATAGTAAAATTATTCCTTTACATAAATCGGGTAGCACATCTGATCCTACTAACTTTAGACCTATATCCGTGCTACCTACGTTTAGCAAGATTTTTGAAAAAAAAACATGCTGGACCAAATACAAACATACTTTTACAAGAATAACCTTATGAATCGACAACAATTTGGTTTTACAAGGGGTCGCTCAACAACCGAAGCCGGTGTCGAGTTAATACAAGAAATTTTTAATGCCTGGGAGGATTCACATGATGCGTTAGGTGTTTTTTGCGACCTATCCAAGGCATTTGATTGTGTTTTTCATGAAACATTGATAAGGAAACTTCATTATTATGGATTTAGAGATAACTCATTGGATTTTATTGTCTCATACTCAACTGACAGAGTACAGAGGGTTGACATCAATGGCAAAAGATCCCCTAGATCGAAAGTTAAGATGGGTTTTCCGCAGGGTTCAATATTTCGTCCTTTCTTGTTTTTGATTTACATAAATGACTTGCCTTATTTCGTAAGGGATGATCACGAAATAGTTTTGTTTGCGGATGACCTCTAAATGTCGATGTCAACAAATCTATCGCTAAAATAGTACATTGGTTTAATGTAAATAATCTTGTCCTTAATGAAAGAAAAACAAAATGCCTAAAATTTGCATTAGCTAATGTTAAAAAGTAGATATAAATGTTAATATAAAAGATAAGAACATGGGCCTTGTGGATACCACAGTTTTTTCGGGAATAACATTAGATCCTAAACTACAGTGGAGCCCACATATTGATAAATCGTCGAGTAGACATAGCTCTGCAGCATATGCCGTAATGAAGATACGTAGGTTAACTGACATAGATACTGCCAGATTAGTATACTTCAGTTACTTTCTTAGTGTGATGTCGTACGGAATCCTATTGTGGGGAAATGCTGCCGACATAAAAACGATTTTTGTACTTCAGAAAAGAGCAATTAGATCAGTTTATTTTCTTAGGATTAGGGACTCTTTAAGCATAATGACTGTTGCTTCTTAATACATATACGAGAACTTAATGTACGTTCGTAAAAATATTAATTTGTTTTCTATAAAAAGTGATGTACACAATATTAATTAATACAAGAAATAAAAATAAATTAACGGTGCCTGTCACTAGACTACAAAAAGTTAATAACTCATTCAGCGATCTTTGTGTGCGCTTCTACAATAAGGTCCCAAGCAAAATACAACAATTAGATATCATGCAGTTTAAATTTACTATTAAAATAATACTTATTAAAAAAGCTTACTATAAGGTATCCGATTATATAACAGATAAGAATGCTTGGACTTGAGATGATCCAGTAACTGGATAGGTGATTATGTACTTCTTAACTCATTATATATCAAAAATTATCTTGCTTCCATTTTTATTAAATGATTATGTTATCATTATAAGACCATAGTTTATTTTTTTCTCTCTCTTTATTTATAATGTATTGATCTGGTAATGACATGGTTTTTGTAAATGTCATTACTCCTATTAGAGCTGGTGAGTTTCTTGCTCGTTCTTCTTATCAGCCAAAAGACGTCCTGAACGAGCGGTAGGGAAAAAAATGTTGGACGGTTTAAAAGTACTTTTAAGAAGTCTATTTGAATAAAGATTATTTTGACTTTGACTTTTTTGACTTTCAATAATTTAATTAATAATATTTGGGTTTCGTGGGTTTCTTCCACGAATTCTTTTAGATTTCTACCATAAATTCTGCTTGTTATTTACAAGAAATGTAAGCTGTTTTATCCACTTCCAAACAGTCTCTGACATTAACGAATAGTTTAACAACGTACGCTTACTATCTCATTTCAATCACCCATTGACATCGACCCAGATCACTGCGCTCATCTAAATTTAAAGCGATCAGCTGCCGATTCATTGCACCATTACATGATAAAAAATACAATATATGCGTATGCTTAAACATAGGAAAATAAATTTTATATATTTTTTTTTAAGTTCTAGATGATTTGGTGAGTTTCATTTATGGCACGATGTTCTGTATTGAAACTGCTACGCAAACGTAATAGACGTTTTTTGTAACTGGTACAGCACTTGCATGCCATCACACCAAGCGTAGTCCCCGTATCTGATAAAATCAATTAGACTTACGGTCAGTTGCACAAACGTTTAATGACGCCTTTAAGGTTTAATGAATGCCAAATATCTATGAGTAATGTAGCTTTAAACTAATGAAAATATTAATTAACGTTTGTGCAACTGGGTGACAGTCGTTGAATGCAAATTCTGGTTACTAGTCATGGGAAACTATAGGAGCATAATCACTTTGGGGGCAAAGGATCATAGGTGTAGGCTAAGAGAGAGAGTGAGAGACAGCTTTGTGTGGTCTTTTTGTTTTTATCGTTACATCGTCATATTTCTGATATTTTGCTCTCCATTAATGGATGTTAAATTACTTTTAACTTCATTAAACTTAACGTGCTCGGTGTTAGATAAGTTTTTGAATATAACTTTGAGGCTCCTAAAACCATCTTTGACTCAGTCATTCGTTTGAAAGTCTCATCCAATGTGATTAAAAGTGCGTGTGTTATAAGCAAAACTATAGTTAGCAATATTTTGCAAAAGCCACAAATAAAATTTTGTCGTTCATATACTTCATGTAACACTATAAGAAATAAAACAATTGCTAATCCATGCTTGCTACTAACACTTAGATAGCTCTTTTTTTTATTAAAAACCTGAACATATTATTTGATTTATGATTAAATTTCAGCTCATAACATTGTTTACAGAAAAATATAGAAATAACAACAAAAATAAATCGAAAATAAGGGACGTTTCAATTTGGACTTTCTCTTTCACATATTTTATTTGCTTTCATAAAATTATTGAATAAAATTTGACAAATGGAAGTAAAATTTTGTTCTTGTTGTAAATTTAAATAATGAAAAACCCACCAAATGTGAATAAGACTCAATACAAATCATGAGGAAACTTTTCTTCTTCTCTCGGAAATCCTTGTACTACGAAAGTTATATTTATTTCATGACGGATCTTCCATTGAGTATATACTGACAGATCCTTAGATTCTCGCACCGTATTCTCATTTTATTTCACTAAAATTTTAGGCGTCTACTACACCTATACTAAAAACACGAAATCAGGAATATTTTAAAAAAACTTTCGATTTTCCAAAATTTATCATGTCCGGTAATTCATAACAGTTTGACAAATGCAATGAAAGGCCTGTTGTATTAATATCAAACTGTATATGTTTATATTATGGTTTCCAGATATATAGTCTATAAAAAAAATGAAAAATGTACCTCTACCCAGTTATTTTATAAAATGCTGGGCCTGATATTCGGTAAATATGATATATAATTAAGTATAGTTTTTAAATTAAATATTTGTATGCAACTTGGATGATTTTTCTCAATGCAAGGTATTTAATTAAAGAAAACCAATAGTTTATGACTTTCACAAATACTTTGTACTCGTACCTAGTCTTAATAATAATATCATATAGGTATTTCATTTGGAATTTTCGACCAGGTTTTCTTTAAGTGGTTGTTATTCGGTCAATAACAAACACACAAACTAGATTTTCGAAGATCTTATAGAAGATAAACAGGAAGAAAATACCTTGAACTTGTCCAAACACTTCAAATTCCACTGACGCCAACACATTCGGATCCTCGGTTTCCATCACTAATCACTTTACACTACTAATGAAAAGAATTTCAATATTAAAACTCTAATTCACTTATAAACTTATCACGCTAAGCGAATATGGCATCACTACACTATTCTTTTACGCCGCCCGCCCAAGCGTCAATGCTAGGCGTTTGGCCCGGTTTATTTTTATTTATACTGGTATGATGCCCGTAAAATTACGAGTGCCAGCGAGAATTGATCACCTTTGACGGATAAGAAATCTATCCCAATATTATAAAGGGGAAAAACTTGTTTATGTGGATTGAATAAGCTATAAAACAGTTGCACCGATTTATAAGATTCTTTTACATACAGGAAGCTACATCCATACGCGGGTAACATAGTCAAAATATTGAAATCTTTACAAGCCGACTGGTTCGCACACCGGTTTCAAGGTGTCACTGTCTCTGAGGGTTCGATTCCTCGGGTCAATGTAGAACATGATGTCCTGTCCAGCGTGCAGTAAAGATTATTATTATTATTTTAAATTTACTCTTCCCGACCCCTCGACGATTCGAGGGGGGGGGGGATTCCCCAGGAGGCCATTATTTTTATTATTATCTTCGTTGTTTCAGTATTCCGTAATCCAAGTATTTTAGCTACTCAGTTTGGGATTTGATTAGTGTATTGATGTTATTTAATATTTCTTTATTTTATTTTTTCTATTCGATAGTTTAGAAATTGCTCATGACGATTTATAATATTTATAGTTTATTGTGTTATTGGTTGAGGACAACTGCTTTGAAATTCAGTTGTAAGATAGTTCATACAATGCAAGTTAAATAAATTGTTTGGCTTTCAGTTAGCCAGGTACTTTAGGACATCGCATTTGAAAGAACAGGATACACTGATTCTAAAGTACCCGACTACTATAAAATAGAAATAAGAACGTAGGAAAGCGATGACGGATGTTCGAGGAGGGAAGACCCTAGTCAGTAGTGGTTAGTTCCGCTGGGTTCTGCCCACCAATTACAATTATATGATTGTCAACTGATTGGTCAAATAACTTCCTAATCAAGTTGATGACATCGCCTGATACTCATATCTATGTAGGTGAAGGCTGACCCTTGTTATTTTTTTAAAATAAGAGCAAACACTGAAATTGTGACTGTTTTAAATATAGTATTACACTAGCTGATATCCTGCGACTTCGCCGACATAAATTATAGTCCATATCGTCGTATAATTAAGCTTCTCTTACGTGAAAGAATTTTTATGTTAAGATCAATATTTCAGAACCCTACAAACAAACAAAGCTAGATTTTACCTCTTTATAATTTAGTATAAATATAAAACAAAATAAAGCTATATACGTGTAGCAAAATTAAAGTCATTTGTTCAGCTTTTTTCTTTACTGGATGGATAAAACATTACGAACTAACTGTAAGGTCGAACAATATTTAATACAATTTGTTTATGATTTTTTATTTGAAGGAGGAAAAATAACGCCTATTAATTAACGACTAGCAATTTTTTGAATAATTTACTATTCTACTTTCACAGGCACTCGCTGTATGCAAAGAATTTTAAGTATCGTCTTTAATTTATTTGTGTTTTTATTTCTTATTTTTTATTGTTATAAGTTGATCTAAACCTAAGTTCACGTAAAGTTTATAAACTTTTTGGAAATTATTACATGACACACGTGTTCTGTGAATGTGTCGGGCAGAATCTGTGTAGGTATGTGGGTGAATCTTTGCAAAATAATAGCACCTGCCGACAGGTAATCTTCTGGTCAACCCAGTGCCGACTTAAGCCAGAGCGGGGCCTATAGCAAATTTTACACCTTCTCCCTCCTACAGAAAAGTTGTCCTTTGTTTTCCAAATGAAACAAAACAATTAATTTGTTTTATTTGTCAATTTTTGTTTATACTTTAAAAAAAATATGAGTCAGAAGCGTAGCTTGGTAGCACTGTTTCTTGGATTTTAACATTGACTAGAAAAATAAATTTATTGGCTCTGAACCATAGCGAGGCTCCTTATTGCGCGGGGCCCGTAGCATTAATTGATTCTTTTGCTACGTGGCCAATCTGACCTTAGTGCTTGCTACCTACTGAAAAATACGATCAGTTATTTAAGTATATTTTAATTTAAAACATAGGATTTTTTCAATTTGATGAAATATTGTTCTAGTTCTGTTTTAAATTGGGTTTTTCATTCAACTATTGAGTATCGATATAATAAATGAAAATCACAATAGGTTGTTTACAACCTTAGATTAAAACATTAAAATGTTAAGCCACAACGTGGTATTTCTTTATTTCTTACTAAAATTCTTGTTCGGGTTGGTCGAAAGTAGAGTAGATAGATAATGATATACTTAGAATTTTGCTTTAGGCTTAATTTATTGATGTTTGAAAGACTGTATTGTTCTATATTTTATCGATATCTAAATGATTCAAAATGTACATATAAATAAAAAAATGAAACTAAAAAACTTTTAATAAATAACCCAAATTATGTAATAAGACAATTTTGGGGTATTTTGAAATATTCTTTTTTTTTATGGATAGGGGGCAGACAAACAGACGGATCACCTGATGGTAAGTGATTACCGTCGCCCATAGACACCTGCAACACCAGAGGGGCTACAAGCGCGCTGCCGGCCTTTGAGGGACGAATATGCTCTACGCTTGAAAGCTTGTAGGTCGTATCGGTCCGGAAATACCGCTGGCGACAAACTGTTCTAGAGTTTGGCTATGCGAGGCAGGATACTTCTAAAAAAACGCACAGTTGAGGACTTCCAACCGTCGAAGTGATGGGCGTGGATTTCTTGTCGCGTGGAACGATGGCGGAAGGTAGCGGCAGGTATAAGTCCGAACAATTCCTCGGAGCATTCCCCGTAATAGATGCGATAGAAGATGCACAGTGACGCAACATCTCTACGCAGGGCCCAATTTACTCTATATTCACCCAATTTACCCAATTTACTCAATATTAACCAATTGATTATTTTTGGATATGATGCAATTCTTAGGATTTTTCGTTTCTTTCTATGCATATGGCCAATTAAAGGAAATATTGATATCAGACGTTAACTACCCTTTTCGGTCTGGTGGTTTGATACAATTACTAGTAAATGCTTTCAAAGTTAAGTTTATCGTCTCCGACAGATTGTCGTTTCTATATAGGATGACGATACAGTTTTTCGCTGTAAATTTATAAATATCGTTGTCGTCCGAGTTGACGATACGTCGTGTCGTTATCATAGCAGTTTGAAAATGCCTGAAGAGTATAAGGATTAGGGAACGTTTTGGAAATGCTCAGTTTTAGTTTCCTTTTCCACCACACAACTCGCGCAAGTTAATATGACATCTGAGGGCCTATTCTATATGTTACCAACCTTGAACCAACCAACCATCCTTTTTGAAGCCTTTTTTACTTTTTTATTGATTTTGTACGTATTTTTGTTTTCCATGTCAAAATATATAGTTGTCACTCAGCCCTATCCTGGTCTTCTTATTTTGGTTCCCTTAATCCCAGTTTTTCATCATAAATCCTTTATCTAGAGCTATCGTTAACACTATATGTCCTCGAAACAAAATTCAAAAAATTGGAATCTTTCTTTTTTATTTTGTTAAAATCATAGCCGTGAAGATTATCTTTGCATCAGAGGTAGTATCAAGTCCTGCCTCCGTTGCATCAAAAATTAAAGAGAAATGAGCTTTTGAAGTCGTATTAGCGTTTCGAAAATAACTGAAATTCATTTTCGGAGAAACAGAAAAGGCGTTCAGTTGTCAAGTTAATTTGTACTAGTAGTAGTTTCCCACATGCACTTAACTCAAAAACTACATATAGGCTACTTCACTACTGCAGGACGATTCTAAAAATACCGAACCCGACTTTGAATTCACTCATGATCATATTCTCACTCTCTCTCATCATATTCTATTTCTATGTTATTACGAAACTCACTTCACTTATGTCACGAAACGTTATTACCAATTCAAATTTAAACGACGCTGCTTTTTGAAGTGAATTCGGATACCTGAGTGAATTCGAATTCTGGTTTGGATTTTTACAGAATCGCAGGACTGAACGGAAAAGATCCATTAATTAGTGTAGTGCAAAGGAGCCGTAACGTTATAATGTACCAACTAAATTTAAGAAGTTTATCCATCTGAATTATATTATAGTCGTTTACAAAATGTAAAAAATGCAGTATTTGTTTGTTTTAGTAATAAATAATAGGAATCGAATGTAGTGCAATGCTATTTTAAGAATGATAAAATAAACTGTCAGCTACGAGCAATGCTAACGCCCGAATATTTGGCAACCTTGGCGTTATGTCACTAGGATACGATTTTTTTACAGGGCGCCTACATCAAAATGATTTTCACTTACACCAAATAGAAAGTATTAAAAAAATTAAATATTAAAAAAGCACCTCACTAGATGACGACTCTAGCAAAAGTTGATTTTTATAGGAAATGAATGAACCAAAAATAGATATTTCCGTTCATTTTAACTACCATATTAAAAACCTGAAATTTGCAAAGTTCGAAACTTAGATATCAATTCAAATACGAAAAAGTACAAAAAGAATAAGAGTTGTTTATTGAGTTTTGAAAATTTATTTACTTTTATACATGAAAAAACCGGAAGGGTTGTCATGGAGAAATCAAGAAAGTACCGTTGCGACATCTAGTCTCTTTTCGGGAACTTGTTTTTTTTTTAATACTTCCTCATTAACTATGTATCAAGAAATAAAATACAAATAAGTAGTAATTTAAAAGTAACTTGTAATTAAATTTAATAAATTATATTTTTTAGCGCTACGTATCTTGTTTTAAGTTATTATAAATCGTCAATACGTTCTTTGAGCGGCCGCCGCATACAAAAATATAACGTAACGTTTCTTAAAACGTTAATGTTGTCCAACGCACGTCACTAGTTAACTGTCACATGATGACAAGACTGTTGTTTATGTCATCTTGACATTGCCATTCGCGTAAAAACTTTTGGTTGTAAATTTGATTTCTCTCTACAATTCGCCTCGTTACGCCAGTTTGTTTAGTTTTATTAGTTTTATTTAGGTGTTATAGTTCAAAATCGAATTTGCTTACTGAAACACCTATTAAATAAGTAATTTTTATAATTAAATCACTCTTGTGCTTGAATCAAACTTACAGTTTTTATAATCTTTAGTTTTTGCACCGGTACTTGTTTCCGTCTTCGTCGATTATTTTTATAAAATTTTAAGCTTCACTTATATCCTTGACTTAACATTTGCCATTTTAACTTCAAGGAAATAATTTACTGGGTTGAAATATGACCGTGTGCAATAGTGGCGATTTAAAATTGGATGCTGCCGTGAATTCATGGTTAAAACATGATAAGGTAAGTATTTTATTATAAGAATAATTATTCTAAACTTTGTGAATAAACATTTTGTTTTTATAGCATAAATATTTTTTATTTATGTATGATTGTGATAAAAACGACGTACATAAGTTACAATTATCAATATAATTTTAAAACACCAGAGTTTAATTTTCTTTGAAGATATAAAATTGCAATAATATATCATTTAAATTTTCATTTAAAAACATTGATACTTAAGGGTCAGATTCGTAAAACCAAATAGGGTGATAAACTGCAAGTCAATTCAAGCTTAATAGTTCTGCCTAAAGAATCATGTTCAATTTTGACCAAAAATTACTAATGCATCAATTAATATATGTAGTGTAAGCTAACGAAATAGAAAATACCATTATTCTTCTCTTAAGACAAGGAGGCGTTCAAGCTATGTCTCAAAATGTTGATTATTTTTTACTTGTTTCATATTAGAAAATAAAATCTTAAAATAAAATCAGGATAAATATTGTAAGGCTTATAATTATTTTTAATTAGTAATAATAACTACCCCAATGCGATTCGGATCTTAAAATGACTATTTCCTACATTACCTCAATGCAATCTGGACTAACCTTTTGTCATATGGTAAAATAGTGCACATTAGAAATTAAATTTAGATTTATTTCCATATTATTATTTTCATGCATATCTTTATTTCCCCAACAAAATTCAAAGAAATTAATATCTTTACTCATCAGGATTAACAATTATTTTAACCAAAGTTATGTATTTTTTGTGTTACTCTTCATTTGTTGAATGATTAACAGCTAGTACAATGAAAACAATAAACTTATACAGTAAACAAAACACCAAAGTCAAAGTCAAAATAATCTTTATTCAAATTGACTTCTTTAAAGTAATTTTGAATCGTCCAACATTTTTTTCCGTACCGCTCGTTCAGGACGTCTTTTGGCTGATAAAAAGAACAAGCAAGAAACTCACCTACTCTAAATGGAGTAATGTCATTTATAAAAACCATGTCATTACCAGATCAATACATTATAAATAAAGAAAGAAAAAAAAAGAAACTATGGTCTTATAATAACATAATCATTTAATAATAATGGAAGCAAGATAATTTTTGATATATAATGAGTTAAGAAGTAATCACCTATCCAGTTGCTGGATCATCTCAAGTCCAAGCATTCTTATCTGTTATATAATCAGATACCTTATACCAATTATTATAAATTATAATAATAAAAGCTTATATCTTGTAACTGTGTATTACACCTATTCATATATATATTGTTCACTCTTACACCAGTATCTGCTTCTATTACAATTAATACATGAGTATGTTAAAATTTTTAATCTGTTTAGAAATACCTAAATATGATATAATAATATCAAAAAAACATACTGCTAATAATATGCCTAGCTAAAACCTCATTGATGACTAGATCTAATTTTCCTACTTTGATAGAACATTAAAATTGTTTGAAGTTTCTAGATCCAATTGACCAAAGCAATAGATGTAGAAGGGCTTGGTTGGGCCCTAAGTGTGATTTTGGATTCTTATTTAGAAGATTAACATAATTATAAACTAGAATATCTTACTATAAATATACTTGAATTAAATCTAAATAGAGATTTTGACTATAGTTACAAATAGTAAAGTCATTTGTCTTGATATGTCCGTTGTCTCGATATGATCAGTGAGGTCATTTCAATAAAAATGAATAGGAGTAGGCTATGCTAATGTCAGCAGACAAAAAGTCACCTTATAACCTAGACTGTAACAATGAGAATCATTACATTCATGAGTTATAATGGTATTATTATTGGTCAATGAAAGCTTGGCTATAATTTTCAATATTGAAAACAGCAAACTTCATACACACTTAGCAGTAATTCAGTTTACTACAATATTATTATTATTATAAGATTAAATTATTATTATTATTATAAGTTGCCTGGTTTGCGAAAGGTCGTGGGTTCGATTCCCATCTCGGTGCCAGGGACCAAGTGGATTTTTTAAGCATTTTGTATTAATAATAATAATTATTATATTAATATTTCTACAGTTGATTTTGAATTCTATACTCAATGTTTTAAAGTTAAAATCAAGTATAATTTGACAGTTTTGTTCAACCTGATATGCTATTGAGTGAACTTAATTTTATTTTCATCTATTTTTCATTTAGAACCCTGACACCCGCAAAGAAGTGTTAGACGACATTTCTAATTCACAATGGGACAAATTAAGGAAGACAATGCTACAGCGACTAAAGTTCGGAACCGCGGGTCTGCGCGGGCGCATGGCGGCCGGATACAAATGTATGAACGACGTTGTTGTATTGCAGTCAGCTCAGGTAAAATATCAGATCCCAAATTAAGTAGCTTAAGCTTACTTGTATTATAGACATTTGAAACAATGAAGATACTAAAACACACAGACCTGAGAGAATATATAGAAAAACTATTATTTACATTGATCCGACCGCGAATAACAGTTGGAAGGACACGTGGCTTCAATTTATTTGTCACTGATCTGAAGTGGACTTTTGTTGAACCCTTAACAAATTTATTGGGAGTGTTTTTTTAGACAATGCATGGAGGAAGAAGTTCTAGTTTCGAGTACTGTCATTGGAGTAACTAGGGCAATAGCCTCGTACTAAAAACTACTTTCCCGATTCTCTCGAGTTTCAATTTGTCTACCTTCAAAGGCTGCTGTCCTGAGATTGACAATACGATAAATAATAAGAAAGATTATAGGTTCACAATTAGATAGAATGAATACATCTTCTGGGTAGATTTTGTGAAAATGTTACTAAAAAAGGCCTTGCTGACGCGACTTGGTCCACGTCTAGATTAGTCCACGTTACGCCACTGCGTACAGTACATGGCCGTCACTGTTGTGAAGGCGAAAGGAAATTTCCTGTTTGAGCTGGTTTGAATGTATTTTAACCGTCTGAAATAATGGTAGTGATATAATCATCTACGTACCGGCCAGATTGTGTTCTAAATTTGAAGCGCTACACTTATTTTACCTAAATTAGTCATCTTACTCTTGACCTTTAGTCTAGACCAAGACTGTATTAAGTCATGCGCAAATTTTACTTCATAAGCGCGGCGAAGTGTGACCGAAGGATACTCAACAAAACGCAATTATTACCAGAAACTGTGACCTATAAGGTTGAGCAATTACCAAGGATTCATCATCGGTATTTGGAAGAGCTCTATGTCATAGCATTCTACTAATCGTATGGCTGATTAATGATCTGATCTGTTCCTAATTTTAAATTACATTCCAATTCCAAGAACGAAGTCATTACGTATAGTTAATGTGTGTTAATCATACAGTTTTCGCTGTTTCTAGGGTCTTTGTTCATATGTCAAGAAAATCTCTAGCCAAGGTCCACTACATCACGGTATCGTTGTGGGGTACGACGGACGCTATAACAGCAAGAGGTGAGTAGAAAAACTAGATTTAACAAATCGCAAATCAATCTTCCTGTTTGCTGATTTATTTCGACTCGGGCACAAGACGGTTTTGTCAATCACAGGGAACAACTATGATAATTTAATATTAATATTAATAATTATGCGCAGTGGTTAACGCACTCGGTCGGTAATATGATTGTTAAATAACTTTCGAAATGGCCGGTCATAGGATTGATTATCTCGAGGTTCGCCGTGATTCAGAAGGCACGTGAAGTCATTACTCTCGGCTATATCTGTAGTCATTAATACCCACCAATTGGCACAGGGCATGCGTGGCGGGTTGCCCATTTTCCCTATTCGATTCCATCCGTAGGGAAGGCCTGAGCCTCAGCAGTAGAGGCATTTATAATCTGGTGATGGTGATGGCAAATTAAAAATTAAAGTTTTCTTTTTAAAAACAAGCTTTTGGTGGCCTGTCGGCTTTGTATAAGTGAATTTTTTTTATGAACTTCACAAAGTTAAACATTCGTTTGTCATTAACCACGGCTACCCTGTACCCGAAAAAACGGTCTTCATAATTCACTCAATAAAGATTCATTCACTAAATTAGTCTATTAATTTTTTTTCGTTCTCGACGCTTTAAGTAGCAAAATCGCACACCGACCTCTAATAAGAAATATAACAAGAACTCTCTATTTAATATAATGCCAAGAACATTTATGAACCGCTTAAAACCCGATGTAACCGTTTAAAAGTTGTTTCATTTGTGGATGATAATATAAGAAATCAATAAGAATATTTATATTACTTTTAAAATTAATTTTAATTATATTTCAATATCGGTATTTCGGCTAAAGAAACTACTTTTGTTGAACCTTTTATCGATACTATATAGAAAAATATTTAAATAAAAAAAAGAACTGCGACCTGTATTTCCTGAAGAAAATGCTAACATACATTTATCTTCCTGTAACTATCCTGATATACCATCGCCTACCCATATAAATATAGTGTCGTAGGTTGCACCGCATCTAGCCTATTAATTATACCTTTTGTATGATATAATTGTGGGTAATAAAATAACCATTTTCTGGGAAAATTAATAAAAAACCTACTTACCAAAAAATCAATGTGTCAATGTTAGTGAATATATATATGTTATGATTAAACTAACTTTCCGTTAGCGGCTTCGTCTGCGTGAATAGGGATGATGACTGGGTAAAAAAAATGCAATTCTATTTAGTCCGTCAGTCAGATAATAGAAAAATATTAGATACGTATTTTTTTTTACTTAAATTTAACAAGAAATAGCTTAGATAACATGCATTAAAGTTAAGGAGTTGGGGCTCGCTACGTCACAGTTGAGTAGAAAACGTACTCTAACGTGACGTCATGCGAAATTTCAACTCCATGTAACGCCGGAATTTAATGATTACAAAATAAAAATACGTGTTTAATATTTTTTAACACTCTACCTGACGGACAAACAAACAAAAATTAGTCATCATCCGTATTATAAGTCTGTCACCGCGTATGACATCTCTTACCGTAGATCAAAGAATTTTCATGGTCCGATTACTATTTCGAAAGATTATCCCCTACAAACAAGTAAATAAAATGGACTCCTGTTTATAATATTAGTATAGACACAAGGTATTCATCATCCCAGTCTGATTCCACAATTTATAACATTTTAACCGACTTCAAAAAAAGGAGGTTATCAATGCGAGGTGTATGTAATATATGGGCTTCTAAACAAGTGTGCAAAATTTTATAGATGTATGTATGTATTTATGTTTGTCCACGGATATCTCGCAAGTCAGATTGCAATGATTCTTTTTTTGTTACATTGCTTAGCTCAGGGTACCATTGCTTAGCTTTCGACTCAGGGTACTACACTACAAGTTTCATTGAAATCGGTTTAGTAGTTTGAAATAGACATTGGACATTGGAAATGATAATATTTTTGAGTAACTATTTTTCAACTTAAGGACAAGACAGCATAAGAGAAAACTAAATGACTGAAGAAACGAACTGTTACCAGAACAGTAGGTTAGGTTAGGATCGGTCCGGCTCTACCTGGGACTTATTTTAAGATACCAGGTACCGGACGAAGAGAGAGGGTAGTACGGGGGGTTTTGCACGGTAGGCCTACTGCACTGGACCGCCATCCCTTGCAGTGAGAGAGCCCGGATTCAGTCGGCCTCTCGCCCAGGTCGAAGGCATGTTAAGGTCAGTTCCCCTCGGTATATAAAAAAAAGGTTAGGTTAGGATAGAACTGCGACCCCAATAAAAACAAATTGCTACAAAAATAGTGTTAAAACTGCTACCATCACAGAAAACATTTATCCGGTAAATATAAGTATGTATGACGAAGGTGTACATTTATCATAAGTTAGTGTTTCTATTATTAAAAAAAGAAATAAAGAAAGGGATTAAAAAAGGTAAAACCGACTTCAACAAAAACGTAATAAACAGAAACTACTGAAAAGAGAAACACAAGAAGTGTATACACCAAAAAAAATTTTTTTAATAATCTGCCAGATATTTATAAGGAAAATATCATAATAAGAAGTAAATTGCTGTTTAGTGCTGTTTTAGGTACTATCCTCAAAAAAAAAGTTGGTGTATAAATTTTGTGTTTCGATTTTATTGAAGACGAAAATGTGTTATTTCTCTCTTTTCATTCGTTTCTCTTTATTACGTTTTTTTTTAAAGTCTGTTTTATATTTAATAATAGTTTATTTTTCTAAAATAGCTTTTTTATTAATACTTATTAGTTCTTCGTGAAAATAAATAAGTATAAGGGATAAATATATTTCCAGGCTTATGTCTGAACACAAGCCGAGATATCGTACAAATTATCTAATACACAAGAGATAAATTTACACTATATGTCGGCGGGGGTCACGATATCTATCATAGATACCACGGAAATTACGGAGTGAGTGTTGTTTTCCGTTGCTTCCGTTAGATTGTTTTGCAGACAGGAATGCTTAGACTTACTTCCAGTCATTTTGATAGATGTTTTCTTTACTCACTATATTTCAAAAGTAAGATTAGTTTTTTGTGACTTATTTATTACAGTTTCGGTCAGTTGCACAAATGTCCATTAAGGTTTAATGACGCCTTTAAGCTATAATTAATGTCGAATTTGTATAGGTAATGTCGCATTAAGGTAATGAAAATTTAATGAACGTATGTCCAACAGGCTGATGATGAACTCATACTGTTAATATTGATTCAGTACTGACAGATATTAGAACTGGTGAATTTAATCAGCCAAAAGACGACCTGAACAAGTAGTGGGTTAAAAATTCTGGACGATTCAAAAATACTAATTTTTTTTATTAAGATACAAAATTGGACATAATTATTACAGAACATAACTTATAATTTATCTTACAAAATCCAACTAGGTATATCTAATAATATGTATCTCTGGCATAGTTAAATTTGGTGCAGCATTTAAAGTTTAATTTAAGGTGCAATTTTAATTCAAATTGAATATTGAAAAATAGAAAACAGTCTGATACAGATACGTAAAATCTAATTATAATGACATATTTTTTGAATTAAATAGTGACGATGCTGTTTTTTTGAATGAATACCCATTGCTATCGAATATATCTATGTCATGATAAGTTCGTCTGTCTCATTGTATCGGCCGCATTGTAAAAACTTGTATTTAAAATGTTCTGACTTTGAATATCCGATGTTATCCTTTTGCTTAACTTTGATAAAGAATATTTTTCATTCGTGTCTGAAATCAATAAAATCAATTATCAGATAATTGACCTGATAACAAAGTTAAAAAAGGAAGCTAATATTTATCCTATTATCTAGTGCCATATTGTTCCGCTTGATATGAAGTGAATCAATCCGCTTCTGAAGCAAAATATTTATTGGACATAATTTTTTTTTAAATAAAGTGTAACCTTCGAATGTGCTTGTATTTCTGAATAATGACGGACTCGTGATTCTAGATCACGGTCACCTTTACATTATTTTAAAATGGTAACACATTATGTTTGGATCTTTACTCATTCTACATACATATTAGTAATAACATATAATGTAGAGTACATGCTGTGAAATAATAATGTTCACTTACGTACACTGACGTGGAAACTTATCATTCTATTACAGATATGACGCACGAGTTACATTCAATATTCTGATAACGCTACCTATTAATATATAATTGACCACGAGATCCTCGAGATCTGCTTATAGTATGAGATGTGATTGTTATTTAGATTTATCACTATAATGTATCGAATCAATTTCAATAAATCTTATATGTAGATCTTTAGTATAAGTTACGCAGTATACAGCATTAGGCGTTTTTGAACAGGATAATTTCGACCATGCGCCTGTGTGCCAGAGTTTAAAGTGATCTTAACATAATTTATGAATACAAAATGCTATGATGCTCAAAAATAAAGTCAGTCCATAGTTCTTGAGTTTGCTATCAAAAATATATGGAAGCTGAATTTTCTTTGTTCGTATTTTTATTTTATTGATATACATTTAAATGTTTTATTTTTAATCGTTAACATTAGAAACGTAGTCGTTATAAAATCACTTCTCTGATTATTTTATATTTGTAACTAACTGCGCTTCTAAACAGACAAAAAATTAAAAACATGCTAATTTGGTATAGATACCGTGTAAAAAGCTGTTATTTTAACATTACAAACAGACACTCCAATTTTATTTATTTGCATTTGTATAAATATATATTGTATACATATGTGGTTTATGCAAAATTGTCTAAATTCAAATGCCAATTACAACTGTCAATATAATGTTCTGCAATTAATGTAAATATACGACGTTATATCTGACTTTCTTACCATTCCCATAACTTACATAAAATTACCACGTGTACCATATATACCTTGACATAAAATTACCATTCCCTAGATTTGCTGAACTCACGGCGAAGGTTTTCGTGTCTGCTTCAATACCGGTGCATCTGTTTTCTGCGGTATGCCCGACGCCCTTGGTCTCCTTCGCCACGATCATGTATAAAGCAGCCGCGGGGGTTATGGTGACGGCTTCTCATAACCCTAAAGAGGATAATGGATATAAAGTGTACTGGGGTAATGGCAGCCAGATAATATCACCCCACGATGACAATATTCTAGAGGAGATATTGCAGTGTTTAGAGTGAGTAGTTAGTCTTCGTAAGTCTAGCCTTAAGGTTGGTGCAATCTGACCGAATTTCGGTCAAGCATCTCACGATAATATTCATTTGTATACGATGCTCCAGCAAAAGATTTCATAAGGTTGGATGCCATATCATACATTTATTTGTCAGTTCTCACGAGACGCGACGAACCTTCCGTCAGATATGCACTGAATATTTGTTTTCTAGAAAGGGAAAAGTTATCGATCCATGGTTTTGTTGAATGACGCAACATCTGCCGCTCTAGACGATGATACTCCATATAAAGATAAGAAAACCCCAGGATAAATATCAATACTTAACATACATAACTCGAGTATTTATTTTAATCGGAAAACATGTACCTTTGTTTTCCGATTAAAGAGTTTGTGATAATATTATTTTGCAGTATCCCCGATGATCATTGGGATATATCAGAGATTCGTGCGCACGAATTAGTGACAGATTGTTCCGAAGAAGTTACAACTAAGTACATGGAATATATTAGGAATAGCCTAAACGATGATATTCTAGAACAGAATAGAACAGCGGCAATCGACACCGTGTATAGTGCGATGCATGGCGTCGGTCATGATTATGTGGTGAAGGCATTCCGATCTGCAAATTTGAAGGTATGTCAATAAGGTATATGTGTATATACGGAAGATTTTGTAGATTCTTAAAATTGTAATTTAAACATGAAAGGTTCAAATAATATAGAGTAAATAATTTATTGTTATCAACTTTTAAAATTATGCAATAAAGGGTTGGATTAGAGTCATTTTGTTGTTGTCGCTCTTGTGCAACGCTTGCGGTTTATATAATAAGTATAAGTATATTCGAGTATTTCTATCTTTAGTAATTATTGAAATGTCTTAAACATAAGAGCACATATTAAGATATTTGTGAATAACTAAGAATGAGCGTAGGCACAACTAATTATTTTCAGCTGCATAAAAATGAAACATGACATGCTTCATGAAAATGTTAAAAAAATCCACTTCTTATCTGAGATGGGACTCGAACCCTCGACCTTTCTCAATCCTCGAGCATATAATTAAAACATCAAAACGTTGTGATTTGTTGTCATATGTAAATCATAAAATTAGACTGAGATAATGGGTGTAATCTTAAGTATGTAGAGATTTTTCTAAGTTGGGCCTCGGGCTTCGGGTTGGGCGTAGGGCAATGGTCAGGGCGGTCGTTCGGATTGCGAAAGGTTGTCAATTTGAGTTACACTTCGGTGGCTGGTGGATTTTTTGAAACAATTCCACTTAAAATACCCGAAGTTTTGTTTATTTCAGACGATTTTACTATTTCCTGTCGTGGATTACAACTAATAAATGCAGATTTAGATATCATTTATGATATTTAATTTCAGTTTCATCAAAACACCTTAAATAACAAAAAAATGGAAACATTCGGATTATACGGATTTTAATCGGACGAAAATATAGAAAATCGATTGAAAGAAAAACGGATTTTGCAATCCCTAATGATTAATCGATTTTAAAGGCAGTAACGTATTGCACATTTCAGAGCAAATATTCATTCTGTTTATAAATAAGCGGATATTTAATACATTTCTTTAAAACGTGGAAACATTAATTTATGAAATGAGGAGTAAATTGATTTTAGTAATGTTTCATGTGATATGACCATAGCTAAAGATTTATCTAAAAATCTTGACTTGTAGTGCGTGATCTTCTCTGCCTACCCCGCAAAATATGCAGCGTGAGTAGATAGACATTTCGTTGTATTTTTTAGGTACCAATAAGCGTTAGCCAACAAGAAAATCCAGATCCAGACTTCCCAACAGTGAAGTTCCCAAACCCTGAGGAGGTTGAATGTTTAGAACTAAGTAAGAAGCTGGCAGAAGAGAAGGGAGTCAGATTAGTATTAGTGAATGATCCGGACGCAGACAGACTAGCCGTGGCTGAACACGATTTAAGGTAAGCTTTTACTTATCCGTCTCAGGATAAGTCCGACTGTTCGTCTGCCCCCTATCCCATAAAAAAATCATATCTTTAGCAAATATTCTTAACCAATACACGAGAATTTGAAGGAAATAATAGCAAATAACAGGTTACTGTAATCTTGTTTTAAATAAAAAAAATCTATACTTATTTACTATAGTTACAGCTTGTCAGAATCGTTCATTTTTATTTTCAATTTATTGAAATGACTGTGTTTATATATGTCTGTATCGCACTGTATATGTACAACGATTACTCACACATTCTGCCGCGCACACATTGATTTGATTATAATATAAGAGATAACGTCTGATTGTATTAAAAAATGCAAAATTTATCAGATAATATAGATTAATACAGCGATTTATAACACGGATCTAGACAGTAAACGAAAATAAATACTTTTTTTTTTCTGGAAGTGTTTAATATACTTTTATCCATAATCACCAGAGGTCGGAATTAGGTAGAGTTATTTATGTACTTGCATCGAAATGTTGATATTAATGTGGATCTTCCCGAGATTTCTTTATTTCTTTCTTTCATTGATGTAAGTTTGGCAACGTCGTGCGTGCAGTAGTTTAAATTGTGTAAAAGTAAATAACTTTTTATTTAAAAAATCATGAGATGTTTTTCTGCTCTTTAAAATTAATCTCGGGATTTGAGGCATAACCACTTTATTCTGTCGCTGTATGAAATCAGTGTAAGTACGTGAATAACTCTACCTAATTCCGACCACTGATAATCACACTACTATAATATTGCTTAAACTAATTATGGAAAAACAAATTTTTTATGCTCGATGTCACGTGACCGAAAACAGCGCGTGGCGTCACGCCCTTCTTATTCATATCAGAACTTAGAGAATTCAACCTTATGCATTCATAGAACGATATTAGTTTCAGAGTGCCGTGACGTCATAGCGTTGCCATGATATACGGGCGTTTTCGCGTGAAATTTTTGAAAAATAACTTTTTTTTTTAATTTTATTTTAAAAATGTTTTTTTTTTATATATTTTTAGATATATTTCATGTATATATATTAAATAAAAAATATTAAGAAAAAGTTGTTTACACCCCTATTAAAAATACAGCTCCGAGTGTTGGAAGGTATTTACGGGCAACGAAATGGGAACGTTACTTGGGTGGTGGTTACTGCGCCAGTACGAGGCGAGCGGTGACTCCACCGATGTGTACGTGATCGCGAGCGTGGTCAGCTCTAAGATGCTGAAAGCGATCGTCAAAGGGAAGGGGGAGTTTGTTGAGACGTTGACTGGATTTAAATGGATGGGTAAGTTTGCATAGGTACTTTTTAAGGTTCCGTAACTAGAAAGGAAAAAAACGGTACCCTTATAGGATCACTTTGTTGTCCGTCCGTCAAAACTCGCAAGGGAATCAAAACCTACAGGGTGCTTCCCGTGAACTGAGAATCTAGAAATTTGGTACGAAGCAACGTATTATAGCACAGATAAAGGAAAAATTGCGAATCCGTATTTTTTTTTTAACATCATATAATAATAATATTTTTAATAAGTACCTACAGGTAGATAGATATATAGATAAATTCTTTATTTGCATCATACACACACAGCATTTTACAATTTCAATCTTAGAAAATATTCCATAAATGATCTAGAAAGAGAAATAATTAATAGTAGAGAACAAGATGTAACTAAAACAAGACAATCACACAGTATGTGTACCGCAGCGATGCAAACGGGCGAAAACTCAGTGAGTATTTACTCAAAGAGCAAGCACTGATTTTCAGTTTTTACCCTAATTACTAGTGGTCGCACTGTTAATATAAAAATTTGAAGAATTCATAAAAAAATTTGAGAATACCAATACAAGAATTAATACTAACTAATACTAACTAATAAATACTAACTAACTAATAAATATTTGGGGGTTGCGTACTGTGTTCTATTCACCAGAATATTCAATGTCAACTTCAACTTGGATGGTTTGGATGTAGAAAGTTAAACGCTTCTTAAATTCTCAAACAAATTATATATTTATTAGACCACTGAAAATTATCTTCTTGCGTTTGCTACTCTTCTTCTTTTTTAATTTATGGCCTATTTTCATTTACACAATTCCGCCAATGTCACGCTCACTCGCTGAGAATATATAATAATCATTGTCCACCTGTGACATAAACAATATGAAAACTATAAAGAGTATAATTTCTAGGTAAATAATTTCGCGACAAATACTTACAAATCAAAATATGTAAAAAAAATATAACTTATTTCATTTACCATTTTTTTTCGCAATTTCACATTTACATAGTAATCATAATATATTCATTGCTTACTAACATTTTAAACAAGATAGATCATTAAACCTCCGTGTAGTAGTAAGCTGGTAACTTAATTCTAATGGTGGAGATGGGTGGCGCAATGAAAAACTGGTAGAATCCTTCAGTCTTGATTTAATTGCGAAAAACATACAGCCTAACACGTACAACATACAAAGTAACCCTGCCTATAGTACTGTACTCGGACGTTACAATTATAAGTAGTGTAGCTCGGTCGCCGAACAGAAATAATTTCGTACATTGACCTTTGTAATAATGATAGATATCGTAAACATTTAAGGTTCACTTTACTGTGACAAAATTGGCTAGATGCAACTGTGCGAGCGCAATAGCAGTATGGTATATATTTGTGGGTATGTTCCGATATACACTGCGAGCACTGCACAGTGGTCTTACTGCTGAAAAATCCGTTCCGTTATGGACTGCCAGTACACTGCTACAGTACCCTAGGGAAATTTATGACGTCATAAATTGCCGCCATATTTGTACTGTGAGCACTGGAGATTTCGAGGTAAGGTGCTCGCAATGCTTTTGATCACGTGATCAGTCGTAACAGAATCAGAAAATGATAAGTTTCTAAATAAACAAAAAAAAATACTTACGTTTATTTATAAGATGGATTTAATTGATAAATATTTTTTTGATACAATTTTCCAATTTTATAATATTTTCTTTTGAAAAGAGGGAATCTTTATATTTATATTCACCATGCATTAACAAATTTGAAAATGGCGCCAAAAAATAGGATTAACAGTATACTGAACTGCGTTCCGTTTTAAAAAGTCACCAGTATAACTAGCTATAAAGGAACGGGCTTCCAGTATACTAAATTGACGTCATACTGTTCAGTGGTCGCAGTGTATATCGGAACATACCCTGAATATACAGGTCATCGTACGAAATTCTCTCTGTTCGGCGGCCGTGCTGTAGTAGGCTTATAATGATAAATAAAAAAGTATGATAACTTTTTTGTTTATATCGATATTATTACGTTAAAAAAGAGAGGGAAGAACATGAATTTGATTTTGTGAAACAAACAATTTTTTTTCTTCTGTTCTTCAATAACTGAACCCGTAAATTTTGTGACGCGTTATAGATGATGAATTTTCCGATATATGGAAAATTGTTTTAAGAATACAACCTTTGATGTGTTGACTGTGCATTTGTTTGCAGGCAACACATCTCTGCTGTTATTACAACAGGGTAAATTACCACTTTTTGCGTTTGAAGAAGCGATCGGTTATATGTGCAACCACGCTGTGCCAGACAAGGACGGGGTGTCTGCCGCCGTACAGGTACTACTATACTATACTACTCTGTCAGGAATAAGATTCTTTATCTAGCATGTCAAGTTTGAAAAAAAAACTAAATTTAATGAATACATAATACAATATTCCTTTCTCTCTCGCTCTGAAATCTTTACGCATAAATTTGTTATCTTGACGTTCCCTAGATCACGTAGAATAATATTAAACATATCACATACATTACTCAGATCCAATTAAGTAGCTTACGCACTTGTATTATGGAAATCTGAAGTAATGAAGGAACCACAACACTCAGACCCGAGACAATATAGAAAAGTACATTTTCTACATATATTGACCCGACATTATATATTGATGCTCTGTCAGATTGACATAAGTTTGGTATCCAAAGAACATTCAACAAACGCGTGATATTGGAATTTGAAGTAATTTGGCATGGTCCCTAGGGAACAGGAGGCCTACTCGCTTTCTCGAAAACGAAATTTCGTTTACGAACGAAATTAAAACGAAATTTCGCATGTAACGCTACTCTTTATCATTTTCGTATACACCAACGAATGTTCGTTTCCAAAGACAATTTTCGTGATCGATTGGAGTGAATGGCGTTATTGGATTTCTTATAATGTCAAATTCCGGTTTTTACCGTAACTTGAAATATATAATATTAAACAATACATATATTTCTTTTAAATAAAATTTTAGTGGCTAAACATTGTTTAAACATAAAATATTATAATAATATAACGAAAAACTTAGTATATTAATGAATTTTATTTTTCTTTCCAACTGATCAAGATACTATAAAGAACTCTTTTATCCACAGTATTAACCGACATATTTAAAAACAACCTTTCATTTATACGATGGCTATAATCAACGTATGGCAATCTTAAATATCCGTATAATACAAACGATTCTCATCCCGCCAAAAGTTTTACAAGTTTTCACCAAACTGTTCAGTGTTTACTAATATTTTATTTTATTATTGTGAGTTCCGAAATTTAACTTGACAATTCAGTAAAAAACTTTATAAGTAAGTATGAAACTAATATTTAGTTTTTCGGCACAAAAAAGGTTTTTAGTAATAAATTGACTTTTTATCAGTCATATTTTTCAGGTATACTGGCATAGCCTATATGCCTCGTAAAATCTGTAATATTAATGACATAATTCTATAGGTATTTATTCACAATTCATACATAAAGCCAAAATAAACAATAAACTTTTAGGTATTCACTGTCTCTTAATAAGATTCCTTTCATTTTGGTTTTGATGGAATAATATATTTTCTTATAATACCTATCTGGTGAATTGAGGACAGTCCTAACCTCCTAACACCGTGAAACTGTTTGTTGGGCCATAGGCCCATCCATGTTTTGAGATACGAATCCTTGGTAACTACCTCGGGCATAAAAATTCAACGCTGTAAGAATCAAAAAAATATGAAATGCATAATAGTAGGCATGCAATTTTTTTAACAAGAACTACGATAAAATATCTACCAACTTTAATTGTGGACTCGATGGCATGAGATCTTGCCTGTGGACACAGTAAGGTATGATGTCCTGGCATAGTTCTTGAAATAATTCACAACTGAGTCTGTAATTAATTACTAACAAACTCAGTGTCGAGAATATTTCTTATATTATGGCTATTTTGAAGCCGCCGACGATTTCTTCTACGGTCTAATCGTTCTTCACTGAGAGCGGACTCGATAAATAGTAACAAAGACCCCAATTCGAAAATAAAAAATTGCTAACGAAAATGAAAAGGTAACATTTTTTACTTCGTCAGTTTGAGGTAAGAATTCCGAACAATTAGATGTCAAACTCAAATGTTCGTTTCGTCATTTCGTGAAATAGAGTAGGTTTAGAAAATAAATATGTCAAACATTTTCGTTCGTTGAATATTCGGAACGAACGTAATTGTGGTAGGAAACGTCCGAAATTTCGAACGATATTTCGTTTTTCGGTGAATTAGAGTAGGCTTCCTGCTTATTTGTATATCGATTCATATCACGACTCGTATATAATTATAATGACAAATTGAATAGTAATCAATGGTTACTATGGTAACATTTTAATTATCTATATAAATTTTCACTCCCATTTTCACTCTTTTATTTGCTGTTTTTCGGGATAAAATACAGCCTATTTCCACCGCATATGATGTAGGTGTTTATAATCGAAAAAACAAACAATCAAATGTTTTGTCTTTATTATATATGTAATATTTGTTGATTATAATGTTACCAGGTGGCGTCGTTGGCATCGCATTTGTATTCTAAAGGATCGAGTCTATCACAACAGTTGGATGATTTATATGCGGAATATGGATTCCACATCACTCTGAATTCTTTCTTCATATGTCACGAACCTGCTATCATACAAAAGATATTCAGACGAATAAGAAATTATCATGGACTGGGACAGGTAAGTTGGTAAATTTATTCAGCCAACTTTTGTGGTGATAGCAAAGTACGCTACGACCACGGGGTCTCGTCGCTAAGTAAAAAATATTTGTTCCTTAAAACCACAATAGATGGCGTTCAATATTTCAATATTTTACGTTTGTGAAAAACCCAGAATGTATATAATAACCAGTATAATTTCTTAAAGGGAAAAAATCCCTAAGCTCGGAAAAATGAAATAATTATTCTAGTTTTCGTAAAATTATAAGTCGTCACAATTTTAGAACAAAAGTATGCATAAAAAATAGTCTATGCAGAGATGGCGTTGCAAATGGCTACGCTTTTATTATTTTTATTTTTCCTTGGTGTTTAATTTTTTATTGATTGACAATTTGAATCAAAAATAAAAGACATAAAACTTACAATTAATAGTAGACACAAGAAACTGTTATAGGTATATTTATTGTGTATCTATATTAACGTTATTTTATGGTGTGCTACGAATCGACGCCATCTATTGACGTTCATGCGATATTCCATAGAATGGCCAAGTTTGATTTAAAGTGTTGTTTGCTCACTGGCGGCATCTAGCGTTGACTCAAGACAAAATAGCCCGAGTTAGGACGATCACATTTTGTTCTATGGGATGAGACATCTATATAGATGTGTATCTGTGCTATGACGAATGAATCTAAGAATTACATGAATGAATGACGAAGAACGAAACAAAGTTACTTTAGACTTGGTATTACTCTCGTCGTAAATGTCGATCGCGACGATAGACTTCTCTGCATGATTTACATGTGGGTGGAGCAAAAGTGTAATCGGTGAAAAATGGGAAAATTCAAAAAGTTTTTTTTATTCATTACCTTATTTATATAATAACCTACAAGAATTCTGTCATAAGTTTAAAATTTTGACATTTATTATATATATATTAATCTCTTTGTTATCAGTATCCAAAGAAAGTGGGATCGTGTGAGATAATTTATATCAATGACTTGACCGCCGGCGTCAAGATACCAGAGGATGTCATCGGGGAAGGACATCTCAGTAAGTTATATAAATGTTTAAAACATATTTCAACTTTATAAAACTATCAATAAGATATCGTTAATGAAAAACGTTTAAAAAGTTTACTTTGTCCCTGGTACTCTGAGAATATGAGATGGGATTGCCATAAAGGTCAAATAAAGGTCATTAGTTCGAATCCCATCTTCGAATGCCAGGGACAAAATGTTTTATTTTTTTTTACCATTTTTCATTAGGAATATTTTTCAGTATCATCTATACTGGAAAATGTTCCTAATAAAAAATTCCTTCCTAGTGAACGCGAAATTGATCAAATATTAATAAACATAAATAAGATATTAAATTAAATTATTTAAAGTAACATCACAACGATATTAAAACACATTTAGTGCTGTAGAAAACAAGGAATCCTTATAGTTTCGACATGTCCGTCTGTCCGTCCGTCCGTCCGAACGGAAAAATTTACATGTAATGTAGGGATGGATGTTAATTTTTTTCGTATTACCCTTCCATTTTCATTAAGAGTCAAGTCTACCAACTCAACGGTCGTTGGTAAAAAAACAAACATTATGGCAGTTGTAGGAATATGTGTTTACCAAAGTTGAAAGGAAAACTATCACATTTCAGTTGATATTACAAGATTTCAACTCGAAAATTTCGAACAACTTCATAGAAAACCAAAAACCTGATTTTTATCGTACGGAACTCTTCGAGCGCTAGTCCGACTCGAACTTGGTCGGTTTTTAGTATTTGAATTTCAAATGCCTTCTACCGGTGGGTCCGTATAAATAACAGATTACATTATTATTAGATTAGATAACAAAGTTATGCGTTAGTTCGTAACTAATCTTTTTCCAGGGTTCTCTGAAAATGAGAACCTATTATATCTTGGGTTTTATTTATAACTAAGACTCCGCTGTCATCCCCTCTGCTTATCCGTCTGCCCGTCTGTCTGCTCGTTTATCCGGAATTTTGGACGCTCATATATGTCAAAACGTGTTCCGTAGTCCGATTCGCACTTTACCGGTTTTTTTGGTTAATAAATAATTATTGAATAGACGTATTTCCGCTGTCATCCCCTCTGCTTATCCGTCTGCCCGTCTGTCTGTTCGTTTATCCGAAATTTTGGATGCTCGTATATGTCAAAACTTATTCAGTCCGATTCGCAGTTTACCGGTTTTTTGGTTAATAAATAATGATTGTATAGACGTGTTGGGCACCGGGTTAGAGCAGGACTACACGTGCGGGGAGATGGTCATGTTCCGTTGCAGCAACGGGCTGAGTGTGTGCGTGCGCACCAGCGGGACCGAACCGAAGGTCAAATACTACACGGAACTAGTCTGCCGAGCGAACAACAAGAGGTCTGATCTGTTCCGCCACCTCGAGCCTAAACCGCATTACCAGCGAAATTTGCGTTCTTTAGTTTATTATATCGTCTGAAAAAATAACTCAAACCTAACAATACTGACTTACGGTCAGTTGCAAAAAGTCCATTAAGCCTTAATGACGCCATTAAGCTCTAATGAATGTCAAGTTTGTATGGGTAATGTCGCTTTAAACTAATGCAATTTTTAATGGACGATTGTGCAACTGGCTGTTATTCATTTTGTTCTACGACTCACTCGAATACTCTTTTGTTTATTTTAAAACTTGCGGTGTCAAATTTGTAAATTTACTTATCTGAAAATACATTAAGATTACAGTATAATAATAAAAATCATACGATATTAAAACTATGAATAAAACACCAGTAAAATCGATAATTTTATATTTTAGAAATAGAAACAATGAAAATAATTAATTGATTGATATTATTATTCGCAATATCAATGAACTAGCTGTTATCCCGCGAAATCGCTTGTGTTAATTATAGCCTATGTCATGTCACTAGATTTCATAAATTACCCCACAGTAAGTTTTAGTAATATACTAGCAACACTTAAAAATTCACAGTATTGAATTGTTTTTTACGAATACATTACACAATTGAACGAAAAAATACTTAAAGGTAGGAAAGTAACATTATCCTTTTTCGATCTAAATGATCGTGAACTCTTTGGCGCACTCTGTGAATGGCGCGTGAGGAAGGGTAGAACAGTTTTATATAAAGATCATGCCTTTTACAGAGGGGTACATACACATGCCGGTTACAGCTCTTGTTAGTTTAATACTCTAAGATAAACAATGATTTGCACAATTGAAACGCGCATTATTCTCGGTACCTTGTTTTCGCTTTTACTGCGGTTTAGGCTCGGGACGGCAGAATTGTTCTTAATTTCAACATTCTATCATATGTATTTATTTATTATTAATAAGGCATGCTTACAGCTAGACATATTAAACAATATATAAAAAAAGAATTAAAAACAGTCAAATTTATAGTAAGCCTTTACAAGCATACACAATATTCTTGTATAACAAGTTAAACTTAAGGAGGAAAAAAAAATTTTTTTTTGCCATCGTATTATCTATCTGAAGTTCAATATTATGAGTGCTGTCTTCCTCGCACATCAATGGTGACAGAAACATAATAATACTTAAGTATTTGAATATATCAAATACTAGATATATTTTTCAAATGATAAATTCACTGATGGCTGTAATATCTTTAATAAAATATTTTTTATTTATTTATTTTGCAGTGAACAAGAAAGTGCCAAGATAAAGATGAAAGGTATAGTACAAGAATTCATTGACGAACTCATTCAGCCCAAGGAGAATGGTCTGTGTTAACAAGACTTGATTTTTAGGGTCAATTTAGCCAACTATAACTATGCGTAAATATTGGCCTCTATTTACAAATCATTAAGGTCCAATTTCGTTGGATGAAATTAGATACGTATGTATTCGAACATTACTCAAACAAATATGTACTTTAACACGTTGAGATAGAGGTTTTTGAAAATAACTTTCGATTATTAAAATTGCACATTCCTTAATTTTTTTTATTGCACTAATAACACGTAGCGTAAGCAGTATCCACTGCTTGTTTTGTGCTGAATTATATAAATAAAGACACCATTTTGTCTTGATTAAAATCAACGCGAAACTAGTATATTTAATTTATAAGTATAATATTACGGGTTTTAATAATTTACTGATATCGCACGTTGAGAACGATAGTGACACAATGCAAAAAAATGCAATTTTGAGTAATTAGCGTTTAAAGTTCAAGAAATTGTAATCCACCCCTCTAAACAACGTATCGTCAGTACGCCACCTAGCAGTTTCTATGCAAGTTACGTTCACATGGATCTTTGCATTTTAAAGTTTATAGGTAACAAATAAAAATGTTGTCGAAAGTAAAAAATACGTCATTTTTGGTTAGTGTCATTGTCATTCTCAACGTGCGATACGTTCTTTTGACGATTTCATTAACTCGCTAACGATTAACTAAGTTATAAAATGTTATTTTACTACGGCCAAAGATAATTCTGTGAAAAAATAAAAGTTAGTGAGGTAATTCTGTGATAAAAAGTGATCATAGTCGCTTATAAACTAAATTCAATAAGCGAAGTAGCATTTCTTTATTGTATCATGGCTAGGAACTGTACTTATATCGTATTAATTTTCATCTAAAGAAAATACTATTGTATATTTGTTTTTTATTTATTTATTTGTGAATTACATTCCGATAATAATTAGAATTGAAATGTAGAAAGTACAACATTAAGATTTTATGTATGAAACCACTTATGACAATTCTGATGCAAATTATTAAAATAAATATTTTTATTATATAAAATTAACAACAACGTTTTTCGATTTTCTTTTTTTTTATTATACAGTTTATAACTAAGTAAGTTATAAGTCTAAAACAATTATTGTAAACGAAATATATCCATCATATGGTTCATTTTCGGATTACATACAACATAATTTATGATGTCTAAATTAAATCCAGTGATTCTCAACCTGTTGTATACCCCTGGGGGCAGGTATTTATTTTTATTTAATACTTTATGTACTAATGTACATAGACAAACTTAATGCCTTAGGCATTCTCTGCCAGTATATGAGGTTTCGCAGTTTCATGGTCTGTTTAACAATAATAAATAAAATATCCAAAAGTACCATACTCCACAAAACGTGTTTCTTTATGGAAATCTTATTTTTTTATAATTCAAATAATTTGTTGTTTTTTCTTTAAGAGGATCGTTTGAAATCGTACTTGACTTCTAAGGGATCCGTAGATATACAGTACTATTCTGTTAAAACACTGTATCGAACACAGCGCTCTCTCAACATTTATGTAACTCAACCATATTTATAGTAAAAAGGAATCAAAGCTTTATTTGTTTATGAAATAAAGGATTTATTAGTTTGAACCTCTAAAGCTGCTCTAAAGAGCGTTCTGTTCTACGATACACTGCTGCTTCGATACTGTATTTTTACAGAACGCCAAAGTGGAAATGGAAACACAAAAATTTTATGGTTACAAAAGAATCAACTAATTATTTTCATTGGCTTCTGCGGCTGCAGCAGCTTCTGCTTCCAGTCGCAGCTTCTCTTTTTCTTTGAAGCTGAGCTCTATGAGATCATCAAGTTCCGGGCTCAGTAAGACAGATAGTCCCGCCGTTATTGGCACCTGACGTTAAAATATTATACGTAACTACAAATGACATGACACCTGAGGGCCTATTCTAATTTACCTCGAACGGAAATACTGTTACGATTCGTTCTTATAATTTTCTTAAAATCATATCCCTTACGATTACCTGTCATCAGAGACAGAGTTCTACCTCCGTTGCATCATAAATTATCGAGATGAGTTTTCTTAATCATATTAGCATTTCAAAAATAAAAGAAATTTCGTTTTTGGAGAAACGGAATAGGCCTTCAAGTCTCATGTGAATTCTTACGTGTTATAATTTTAGTTTATCATCTTAAATAAAATAGTTTCACTAAGATCTTAAGCAACTCGTACGTATGGTTTGGGGGTATTCTGGGTTGGCCAGTTACATTAAAAAAAATATCATCTTTTAAGTAATCGATTGAGTGATGAAAAATAAAGTCTAATAACTTCATTTTTCATAAATAATTTTGATGTACACCACGCGAATGTTGCGAATTTACACCGGAGCTATAATTACGCTTACCTCTGCGAAAATCGGTATCGCTGCGTCCCATCTTTCAATATGGTTCTCTATTATTCTAACAGACGGCGCTGCTTTCGGTAAAATGTTGCCGAGAATTCTGCATAAAATCGGCAATCATTTGTAATTAATACTTTAAACTTATTTTTGGAGGTCAACGATTTGAACGGAATTCACAGCAAACAGCTACGATCTATGACCGATCTATAAGCTTTATCTAAGATCCTCCATTTTTCGAATCGATGAGAATACGCTGTAGTAGTATTAGCGAAAAGTAACAAGTGCTTGAAAGATTCGTCAGTCCTGTCAGGTCCTAGGTAGCTCAGTGGTTAGAGCAGTCGCCCGGATTGCGAAAGGTTGTGGGTTCGATTCCCATCTCAGGGTGCCAGGGTGGTGGTGGGACTAAGTGGATTTTTAAGCATTTTGTATTAAGAATATTTTCCAGTATAGCATTGTGAATTCAAAATTAATCAAAATATAATAATCCTCCATTTTGTTTCGGACGACATCTTATTTTTGACATTTATTTATAGTATTAACTTTCCGCCAATATAAACCTTCCTCTTGAATGACTATATAATTGATGGGAAACCTGTTTTGTAGTTAAAAAGATCTCAGCGTACAGACATCGGGAAGTGACTTTGTTTTGAGTATAATATGTATACATAGACTATATTGTAGTTATCAAGGCAAGATTTTTTGATACTTATGCAGCTTGTGGTCGAAAAATTAAGAAAAATCGATTGACGAATCCAGCTCGAAGGACCATTTCAATGTTTTCATCAACTGACGCGTTTAATATTCATCTTTATATGCAACGTCGGCATACAAATAACTTTAGATTGATTAATGAACTAACTCGAACAAGGGCACGCATATAGATTGTAGAAACTGTATCTCCAGTTCAGGTATGACGCACTTGTCCCGGTCCATTATGGTGGGCGGTAAGTCTCCTCGACTTTTCTCCAGGTCACCTTGCTTGAAGAACTCCGTTAGCACGGCCGCCTGCAGTACCAATTATGTGTGGAACTAACATATTTAAGTGACCCCGTAAATTACGAATAATATGTGAACATGAATACCAAGAATCAGTGGCGTAGCGTGCCTTGGCGGGGCCCCGTATAATAATTTGTTTAGGGGCCCCTTATGGAGGGTACAGATTTCTCACAAAAGGAAAATAAATGTTTGATTAAATGATTATTATTATTATAAACTGTGCGAATTGCAATCGTATGTAAGTCGATTATTGTGAGATTCCCCCGTTGAAGTAAATGACTTAAACGGAGAAATCCCCCAGTCCGCGAAAACCGAGGGTGTTGCCAACTTTGAAACGCACGCTTACGCGTTTTTTACTTTTGCCATTTCTGATATAAAAAGAAATTTGGGAACTTTTTATTAATTTTTGCTTACGCACGTTGGGGGCCCCCTCGCCCGGGGCCCCGTATAATTGATACGGCAGATACGGCGGTAGCTACGCCCCTGAATAGAAAACAAAGTTATTCTTACAGCGGTCTTCTTAACGCTGCCCCAGTCCTTGAGCTGGTCGCTGAGATCAGCCGCGTTCATCAAAAGAGCTTGTAACGCAGTTGCATGCAACCTGTTACCTTTCTGAAAGTCCATCGCGATCGTCTTGTATTCATTTTGATTCCTATTATATTAAAATGAGTAAGTTTTTTTTTCTAGTAGCACAGAATTGGTTAAAAAGGTTAAAAAATATCTGGTTTTTTTTTGGAATTCATTAACAGTACAGTTGTTTAAGCTGTGGCGCTACCAGACTGATATCAGCTCGGTAGCATTTCACACATTATTTCTTAATTATGTCTGAAAGAGTTTAGCCATTTATCGCTGCGATAGACAAAACTGATAAACAAAGGATTAAAAGTTGATTAAAAGTTGGATTAAAAGTTGTTTTTTGGAATTCCTTTTAAGTAAGGACACATTTCTAGGCTGACATCAATCTGGACAAGAAGGACTCGTTTATCTCCAAACCTACGTAACTTGGCGATTTGTCGTAACGGACTAGTAAATAATGGATTAGATGTATAAAGAATTCATTACAAAATCGAAGAGGGTCGCGCTCTGCTAGCCTAGGCCATAAATTGAGTATTTAGAGATCCGTCTTTCGAAAGGCACGATTAGCCATTACTTCATTCACAGTTTTTAGCATATAGGTACACTGAAACAACTCGTGGTATATTACAGCGCTCTCTGATTCTGTTCATGTGGAAGACCTTTTTTGTAAACGCAGGGTAAACGAGCCTTCTGCCTCAAATCAGGGTTATCTAGCCACTAAGACCTGCAAACGTGATTGACCTACATGATTAAACCCGCTGCGGAATAGTAGGTTTCACTGAGAAAGGATAAGCTATCCTGCAAAAAGGTCTCCAGTCTCCAGACTAATCCATGTAGAAAACCTGAACTCTAGCGATATGGACATTAATAGGCTCATGACGACGCTTACTTGAAATAGTTGGTCAAGTCTGTAGCCAGTATATAATCCCTGAGCATGATCAGTGCCCTGTCATAGTCCCGTCGCGGCAACGAATCGAGTATGTCACAGCCCTCCGTGTTGAGTATGCACATGGCCTGTGCCAAATGGTGACGTTCCATCACACTACCCTCGCTCGAGTACAACGCAGCCAATGTAGTTTCTAGTTTGAATAAATCAATGATATTGTAAAATTTTTAACGTACTCGTAATCTCCAATCCAAAGCCAAGGTTCCTAAATGTAACTATTGTTTCACTAGCGTTTGTATACATTAATATAAATGTATTACATTTAATAGTAACGCAGATTTTTTTTTCCTCTATGCCTTGCATATACTTATAATACATATGTTATGAATACTGCAAGTTGTGATATGAATAGAGGACGATACCTACGTAAATAAAAAATATGTATACGTGAACATTATATCAGAAATTAAAGAAGCTAAAACTAACGCCCTTGAATATTGAAGCTGTTGGTAGTGCCACGATGATCCAAGTCGTGAACAAGAGCCGCTATTAGATACATCAATGCTTGTAAGTCACTGAAAATTTAATGGCTACCATTACTAAAGGTTAAAAACTTGTCACTTTTAGAAGGAAAAGATAGACTACTAGTGGCAGCACTAATTGTCGATTTCACTACCCAGATAACATGGCAACTTGCAGCAAGTTTAAATCAAACTTTCTAGTTTCAGGGTGACAAACTTGCACTACCTTTGATACGATAGTAATGATACTTGGGGCAAGTTTGATTTTCTTTGATTCTTAACCCAGTCATCATCCCTATTTTCTAATTTAAAAGTCTATCGCAATCACTTGGGAATTATTCAAGTCGAGTACCCGAGTACCTGCTAGGTATTCGAGTCAGTACCTAGGAAAATTATTACCGTATCAAAGTTAGTCACCCTGAAACTAGCAAGTTTCATTTAAACTTGCTGCAAGTTGCCAAGTTTAAATTGCTATATGGGTAAGGGCATCCCTACCTGTCAATTAACTGTCATTGTCACTTTGACTTTGATGATGATCAAACATTGATCAGTTTCGCGCCAATATACTTTCAGGTTGTCATTCATATAAAACTATTGGAATCGACATGGTAATTTAGAATATATCAATAGAATAGTAAATGTGTCTTTCATTACTTACCTGTAATATAAAAATCTACCTTATCTTTACTAATATTATAAAGGCGAAAGTCTTATATCTTTACTAATATTATAACATACGGATAATTCTAAGCCATGCTAAACTACTTTTTATCCGACTAAACAGTTCCCTGGGGACAACACGGGTGATTCCGCTAGCGTAAAGCTAATCACTAATAAAACAATGAAGACTGACTATTAGTAGTACTTTTGGAGTTAGAATCACTTGATTTCAAACCTCGGTTGTTTTTAGATTTAAAAACTGAATCAGATAACAAACTTTAAGAAAAACAGAATAGTGTTACTTATGTTAGAAGTTTTAAAACTCACTTCATATAACCGTCGGTGATGAGCCTGAAGTTCATCATGGCTGCGTAAGCCCATTGTGCAACATTGAACGCGTGCAACCAGCTATGGTATGGGACATCCCTGTACCCCTTCTTCACGTATAGAATAAAACATGCCAGCTTCTGAGGCTTAATGTCAAATCTATAAAAAGAGTTTTGTTATTCGCACAAACTAACTGCAGGTCTAACAAACTGAACGAATATCCATGTTATCTTTGAAACTTTAATAGGACTATGAGATAAAATCACAATTAGAATGGAAAAAATGTTATAGACATTTAAAACAACTGAGACCTGGTATTTTAAATGGGGTTTGTATTAAGTGAGTTTTTGTTGCTGTGTACTTGTTGCAAAGTTCGACTCTCATTTGAATACTTACTTTTTGTGAAATCCGAGATTATGAAACATTCGAAGCACGTAGCAAGGAAGTTCTCGTAAAGGTAACGCACGTGGATTAAAGTGCAGGCTGGCAAAGTGTGGATAATTATGGAATCCCTTACATTCCAGTAATCGAATCACTTCTGCATCTCCTACCTAAAAAGATAGATGGGGAACTAAGGTACACATTTCGTAGCCACTAGTTATAGTGGTTATGCTCTGGACGTAACTTTCGGCATCTAAAACAAGGAGTTTTCCAAGCGAAGGTCCAATTCATTTTCAGTGTGTACTTTCAAAAGGTAAATTACGAACACAATGGTCCATAATTTAATAATAATAATAATATTGTTTTATTAAAGGCAAATAAGACCCAATACTAATACTAAAAATAATAATAATAACAATAATAGGGGTACCCAATTTAAAGTTTATTTGCGATTTCCGCTCCGGTGCACTGAAATCCAGTGCTTGAATACAGGGTTGTTTAAAGTTTCTACTACTCCCTTAATTACACCATTGCATGAATTATTAATTTTTTGCCAGAATGAAGCGATGCGCCCTCTAATAACCGCGAAAAAATCCGCTATGCGAGCTTCAGCAAACATACTTGACGCACTACAGTAACGTGGCTGTCTCATAAGGATACGAAATGCGTCATTATATTGAACCCTTATGGATGAATAAGAGGCACGACTGTAATTAACCCACAGCTGACAGGTATAGAGAGATTGACAGTAGGAATTAAATAATGTCATTTTCACTTCGTCATTACATTTGCCAAACTTTCTAGCGAGCATGTTACAACGAACTGATAATGCTCGTCTCTCACGTTCAATATCTAGGTCGTCCTTTCCATTCTCTGCAAGAATGTGACCGAGATATTTAAATTCGCTCACAACCCGAAGCGCTACACCATTCAAAAATACGTCTGGTATGTTCTCCGGACCCTTCCCCGCCCTGAAAACCATAAGCTCTGTCTTGGACACATTATAACTCAGCCCATGCGTAATAGCATATTGCTCACAGACTGAGACAAGCCTACGGAGACCTTTAATCGAAGGGGCCAGCAACACCATATCGTCGGCATAACTTAGACTATTGACACATCTACCACCAATATGGCATCCGACACCAGTTGCCCTTAGCTTTCCGATCAAGTCGTTAATATATAGGTTGAAAAGATCCGGAGAGGTCAATCCTCCCTGACAAACACCGCATTCCAGCCTATAACTGCTGGAAGTCGCGTCGCCCCATCTCACAAAATTTGTCTGTCCACCATACCAGTACCCGAACAGATCCACTACCTCCGCAGGCACACCAGTACCACGCAGTTTTCTCCAGAGAATTTCATAATTCACTAGGTCAAATGCACGGCTTAGGTCTAGAAAGCATGCATATACAGATGTTTTTTGTTGTACATAATAATTGACTGTACTTTTTAAGCAGAATATAGCTGAATCCGTCGAGAGACCGGGACGGAAACCAAACTGTGCATCATCAATTTGAATGTTCTTCGAGACCTCAGGCTGTAGCAACTTTTCAAATACCTTTCCAATAATTGTACCCAAAGATATTGGTCGGTAGTTACTCGCTGACCCCAGATCACCAGTCTTATTTTTGGCGACAGGTACCACAATTGTTTTCATTGAGTTGGGTGGCACATGGGAGTATTTTAGACACATATTGAAAAGCTTCGCCAGCTTAGAACATAGAATCGTGCCCGCATGGAACAGATGCTCAGAACTTAGTTCATCATGTCCCGGTGACTTACCACGACCCATTGCATTCACTGCCTTAGCAATATCTTCCGTGTCATATTGTATGATTGATAAGGGCTCCCTGGTAGTAAGGTCACCAGAATCATTCAGTTCCGGCATACAATCCGACACAGGCAGACGATCAATTTTAAATTTTTTCGAGAACATATTTGCAATTTCTTCTTTATTTTGTATACCATTTATACTAATTGGTAAGCTCTGCTTTAAATTTAGCTTTTTAATTTCTTTCCAAAAAGTTACAAAGTTGTTATTTTTTCTGCTAACAGCCAATATATTTAACTTGATTTTTTCTTCGTTATTCTGGCACCATTTCAATTTATTTTTAAACTTTTTTCTATGATTTACCATGTTATTATATATTTCACCAGAGGTTGGTTTACCTATTATAATCCAATAATCAAAATGCATACGGTATAAGTAATGGAGTTCCTTCAAGTGAAAGTTCCAACCTACAATTTTACGCTTACCCTGCGCACCAGAGCGTCTTATCGCACACAATCTGGCACCGGACTGTAACACTGAAACTATGTTATCATAAAAGTTGTCAATGAAATTATAATGATGGTCTAAGCTAAGACATTTCGTCTTGTTATAATTATCACAGTGGATACAACTAATATAGTCTGTTATATCATGAAACGCCTTATTACAATATTCATAATATTTTTCTATTTGGCTAATGTTCCTAACACCCCATTTCACTCTACTTGGACGTAACGCACTAATATTGGATGTTTTCCTTTCTGTGATGTCACTTATATTACATACTACACGTAACGGAAAATGATCCGACCATGTTACGTTATACATAACACTAACAGAATTAACAGTTTCCCACGCCGCCTCGGTAGTCAAACAGTGGTCGAGCCATCTGTTTGTGCCGTGACACTCACTTATAAAGGTAAAGGTATCCGAGTCAATACCTAATTTATCGATATCTGCACATCTCCACCCCTCCTCCTTACAAAAGTCCAATAGCTCTCGTCCAAACCTAGCATTCGGGTGCGCGTTGAAATCGCCCAATATATATACCGCCTCCACATTGCTCTCTTCTATCATTGAACTTATACTCGCTAGACAGCTTGTAAATTCAGATAAATTATATATATCATCCGTCGGCATATATACATTAACCACTAGAAAAGAGCACATACCTATTTGTATGCGTATAGCATTTATTCTGTCAGATGTACTGTTTACTACAGATACCTTCGGGAACTTAGACTTCCTCTACATGAGTGCAAGGCCACCATACGGTCTCCCACGTAGAAAGCCAGCCGCTGTATCCACAGAGGACGACGCATTACAAGCGAACAGGTCATCAATATTCTGTACAAAGTCAAGGTCGCAAGGCAAAAGCCACGTTTCTTGCAAGGCAATAATATCTGCCTCCTTACATAATTCCTTAACGAAGGAAATTGATCGTTTAATTGATTTACAATTAAAAGATATCATGGTAGTAGTAGTTTTTATTGTAGAACTATCCATAATTAATTATTTCTTACAGTCTTCAACTTTCTTATCTGCGTCTCGACGCTCACGATAAATTCTATATTTTATACCTTCAGGCCAAAAATCATTTGATAAAAATTTACTCAGTTTACTTTTTGACACGACGATTTTAAAAGAATTAAACGCAGTTTCATATTTTTGGTTAAGTAATTGAACCTCTAAACATTTTTCTCCCATCTCTTGTATGTGCTCTTTAATATGGTCGACCATTGTTTGATTCGATAACCGCGAAACATAATTTAACCCTTTATAAAACTTTAGATGACTTGGAGCTTTGTAGAACAAATCACACCTCTATTGAATCAAATTTAAAATCAACATTAATTGTGATAGTCAAAAGACTTAATCCTAGGTTTATTAGATCAGCGATTTAAGACCTCGTGCTGAGAATACTCCTCCTTCAAAAAATTCAGCAAAGGTCACTTTTTTACTCTGCTTTATTTCAAATTCAAAATGCATTCAAACACAAAACAATAATAATTTATCAAAAGGGAACTTATTTATAGTACTCGAAGTACATATGTTATTTTTACCAATTTAAATTTATAATTAAATACCTACCGAACAATTCTAAAAACTTTTTTTTTTACTCAACTGCGCGACGCAAGGGAGGGTAATGTGTTCATCAGTCTATATATGTATGTATGTTTGTTTCTATGTGGCGTTCTAGAGTCCAAATGCGTAGGCCGATTTTGATGATTCTTAACTCAATCGATTCGTCTTAGCCTTGCGAGTGTCACTAATGACATGACAATAATCAAAATTCACCACACCGATAACCAGACGCCATATTGTCAAAATGATTAAAAAAAACGATGAACTATGTCAAGTGGGGGGTCGTTGAATAGGTATTTTAAAATCATCTTTGGATTCATTTTAACCTTTTTGCATTTTAAACAATAGTTTAGGATATATAACGATTTAAAGTTGTTTAACAAACGATATTAACTCCCTCAATGAAATGACTAGATTGCGAAATTTACCATCTTATAACGAAGTCAACGAATCGTAACTAAAAAGTATTAAATAAAAATAAATAATTTAAAGAAAAACAAAAAACCCGATTGCATAAAAACGAATTAAAAAATAATAATTAATTTAAATAAAAAATAAAAAGAACGACTCACAGTCGAGGCACATTCAAATTTTACCAATTTAATCTTCCCAAGGGGCCCCCGACTATGAGTCGTTCTGTTCTGCATTAGAATTTATGATTTGTTTTATGTGTGTATCGTTTATAGGACTATTTCAATTGTGAGGTGGTTTAGTATTATTTAACAGAATTCTAAACTACTGGGCTTGTTTCTTTCTTTCTATGTTCACTACGGATCTGTTACAGTGTAAAGGTGATGTTTCATTACGTTATTTTTTTTAAATAAACGCTCATGGTCTTTCTTGCATCTGGAACTCTTGATGTCGCGTCTTACAGTATAATTTGATAATAATAATTCTGCTTACCTTCATATGATACATGACTAATTCGTTAGCCAGCGTGTTCCGAATGTGTGCCTCTTGAATCTTCTGGTAAACCATGGAGTGTATCATACAGATCCCACAGTATATGCTGAACGCGAGCGCCATCTCCTCATCCATCCCATCAAAGTATGGGTCGTTAACTTTATTCATCAGCTGACCGATCCCTATTATTCCTGTTTTTTCTCGTATAGGAAAGCAGAGAATTGTGCTAGAAAATAATAGCAATGATGATGACTTTGCTTCAAAATTTTCAATTGGTTTTTTGATAGTTTTTTAAATCGTCACTTTTCTGAAGAAGTCCAGCATTATAAATGTTGTAGCCTTAGAGCATTTAACGATAAAGATAAGACAGTCATAACAATCATGTATCCCATTTGGTTAATAAAACCACTGGATGCTCCTAACAGTTAACACCTCTGGTTTCAATTTTTTTTAAATCTCTTCTCATTCGCGCCCAACATAACTCATTGTACTCTTTTTTCTTCCAACCTACCTACCTATAGTGCAAATGCATAACTTAACACCTAGGAGAATTTAAGACCAACTATATGTCGCGGTGTAACTAAGAAGAAGTCGTTAAGGTATGTCCTTAAAACCAGCTAAAGTTCTTCAGGCTTGTTGTCTTATACTATTTAATTACAATATACTAACTTGCAGGTTAGACCAGGCCGCGAATCAATATCTGGATCAAAAGCGGGGTGATCTTTAGCCGACTTCGCGTTAACCAATCGTCCTGTTGTTAACACTTGGCCAGCGATGCCTTTGTTTAAGGGAAACCTTAGAACGTTATTTTTCTCGTCCTTCATAGTAGAAAAATAATTTAATTAGAGAGCTTAAGGATCTTCTACTTTATATAATTATGCGGTAATTACCAGTTTGGTGATAGAAATATTTTAGCACCATTTTCATCATTTTTGAAGTTCCGAGTTTGATATAGAAAAGCCATATTCTCCATATGGAAGGTTGTTGGCGTTGCAGTTGTTATTTTTTATTTACACAACAACATTTACCTACTTAATTTGACATTGGAACAATGTATATACAATTTTTTTTAAGTAGGCAATAATTACAATTTTTTGTTACAATACGCTATAGGTTAATAATTATACTTATTTATCGATCAAAGGGGTTTTTTGCCTTTTTTATTTCTTCAGTAATTATATTTTATATACTTAAGAGATAATAAGGCTCGTATGTTAGAAATACAAAATCCAAAAGTCTTATATTAATAACAATCAAGTATATGTTTAGACTTTTCGATTTTGTCTTTCTACAATATTACAATTGTAAAACATATTATTATTGGTATCTAGACGTTTTTATGGAACTGAGCAAGATGTTCATACAAACCTTCCATTTTGAATCCACCAGTTCCATTTTATCGACATCGACCAGCATCACCCAGCAATGTTCAGCTTTCGTCAGCTGCTTCGCTTGTTCCAATGCTATATTTAGCAGCGTGTCCAAAGATGCCACCTTAATGATAAACATTTTTAATGCCTTATAGATCATATATTATTTACAAACATAATCCCATAAAACTTATAATATTAGTGGTAACAAAATTAAATAATAAATAATTTAGGTAGAGTGTTGTGCTTTTGTATTTGCGGTAGGAAGAAAATGCAGCAATGTGTTTATGTGGACTATATAATCAACATCATCAGCCCTTTTACGTCCTCAAAGCAAGGGCTCAAGCCTTCCTTATGAACGATTAAGGAGGAACAGCCATGGCTCTCCACGCTGACGATATGCGGATTAGAGGGTATTATGACTGCAAATATAGCCAGGCTCCACATTCTACTGCCTCGAGCCATGGTCCGTATGACTCTAACATAAATACGCATTCGCTCCTACTAAGTATTACAATAGTCATTGGCGCCGACTTCACATACGTTTATAAGAAGTGTCGTAGCTGTCCATATTATAAATATAAATAAGTACATATTATAAATAAGTACTAACTTGAGTAAACAAACGCCTCGTTACGCGCAAGAGCTGTTGACATTTTGTTTTCAATGTTGTTTCATAATCTAAAAGAATGGCTTTCTTTAGAATAGGCCAAGTGAATCTGGAACAAACGTTAATAGTTGCAGCTTATATAAACTTACAGCGAGTTTGAACAAAATTATCACTTTTTAAACCAAGTTTATTCTAAGGTAGGGGAGCGGGGGGTATTGGGAGCGGTCGGGTAATGAGAGCGCTACTGGTAGAACGGAACGTATTCGCTTTGGCATGATCGTAAGTACTCGGCCGCTTCCGTCAAACATTGACAAACTTCGCCTGACGCGCACGAGCCGGCAGTTCAATTAGTTCAGTCACGAGGGACGGTTGAGTGTTTTTCGCTCTAAGCTTACAAGAAAACAGCAGATTGTCAGCGCCAAGGTAAGCATTTAGTTATATTCTTTTTTTAATGGGTTCGTCCATAACAGATCCATCACTTCATATTCTAACAATTCCAATTGGTTAAAATGAGTTTGAAAATAAAAGTATGTATTTAGATTAGTTTTTTCCAAAATGGAGGTCAACGGGTAATGGTAGCCTAGGATGGCTCTCACTACCCGACATAGCTTCCATTACCCCATTTCCAAAATTATATATTGATGTCGTTTCAGTTCTCAAGAAAACTTCTTTTTTATTTTAGATGCCACGTAAAAGGAATCGTACGACCACAAAAGCGTCATGGACGGTTGATATACTAGAAAAAGCCGGCCGTTTAAAAAGAGGAGGTACTTCGGTATACAAAGTATCTCAACAAACCGGCATACCTTACAGCACATTAAAAAAGAGATACAATTTAGCGAAGGCAAACAATGCTAGTTACAAAAACTCTCCTAAGCTGGGAAGGCGTACTGTATTCAGTATTGCACAAGAAGAAACAAAATAATAATAATAAACTTTATTTGCATTTCCAACAACACATTCAAATTATAACTGTTTAAATACTGGCTAACCACCTTCGAACTATGTCAAATAAATTTTATGGCCTGACGAGAGAACAGTTTTGTAAAGTATGTTATAGTGTGGCTAAACAGCTAGGTGTAGATGATAGATTTAACCAAGTCAACGAAACTACGGGAAAAGATTGGCTAGCTGGATTTTTACAACGCCATCCTGAGTTGAGCATAAGAGCCTGAAGCTATTAGTATTAATAGAATCCTCGGATTTAACAGGACTGAAGTAACGCTTTTTTTAACAACTTGGAAATATTAATGACGCAACATAAAAGTGATGAAGATTCATCTACTGAAGCAGTTGACGAAAATACACTTTGCGACGATGAGTCAGAATATTCCGAAGAACAAGCTTTATGTGCAATTTGTCTAGATACGGGAAAGAGCGGTGAGATGTGGTATCGCTGCAGAAGTTGTGGAAATTGGGCCCATCAAGAATGCTCGGGCAGTGATCGTCCAGATTCATATGTCTGTGCTTTTTGTTTGGATCCTTAACTTAACTTTTTATTATTTCATATTTATTTGCTTGTTTTGATTTAGAAGTTCAGTTTTTTATTTGTGTTAACTACATTATATGTAAGATCTTACTTAAATTACTTAAGTTTAGTCTTTTCGGAAAAATTTAAGTGTGTGGCTTTTTGTTTAGATCCTTAAAAATGGACCTGACCTGAAGGCCAATTCTACTAAATAAATTTTGTTATTTGTCGTTTTAAACAAAATTTATTTAGTAGAATTGCCCCCCCCTGTTTGTTATTTTGTTTTAGAAGTTGACTTTTTTATTTGTGTTTATTAAATTTTATGTACGATCTCAATTAAACTTCTTAGGTTAAGTTTAATTTTTGGTAAATTTAAAGAAGTGGCTTTTAGTTTGGATCCTTAAAAAATGGATATGACCTGTTCACTTTTTGTAATGTCGCATTTATTATTTGTTGTTTTGTTTGATAAGTTGTCTTTTTATTTTTGTTAACTAGATTTTATGTAAGATCTCGCTTAAACTACATAAGTTTAGTGAAATTTTCGATAAATCTAAGAGAGTGGCTCCCATTTCCCATATGAGCGTTAAATAGGCTCTCATTTCCCGCATGTGTCGGGTAATGGGAGCGACTGACTTTTTTTGTAAAACTTTCATTGTATCCTAATTCTTGGCTGTATTAAATTATAAGTTTGATTAAACTACACTCTAATAATAAAGGTAAGAGTTTCCACTTTAAAATAAATAAAATGTTAAAAAATTTGGTTTTTATTAAAATTTTCCCTTAGTAGGCTCCCATTACCCTATACTCCCCTAATGGTGCTATTTGCCAAAATCATATTATGTAAATTAAACATATATGGGAACGTAAGGGGAAGGACAAAAGATCCATAAAACAAGGGCATGGTAGTATAATCGATATAATATAGGCGCTGCCAATGATATGCTGCGCTGGTTTCTCTTTCCCGCCGCTCACGCTACCCACCATTCGGTTGGTCGTGGGCACTATTTAAGTTACTTTATTAGTTCTATGGTTAACGGTATATCTATAGTTGCAATCAATCGCGATTGTAAATGTCGTTGTAAATTGCGAGATTGCGAGAATTAAGATAAAAATAGATAAAAGAAATGTTAAATGGTGGTGGCCGGGTTTGCCTTATTAAAAAACATGACTTTGGAAACGTGGTTTATTATTAAAATATATAATTTATATTTAAGACGCATTTTTTTATAGTTTTTATCTCATACATTACTCAAGCGACAAGATTGGTCTTATTGCAAAAGGAAGACTAACTTTAGTACCAGGTTTAAGCCATCATCACCATCACCATCACCAGCCCTTTTACGTCCCCACTGCAGGGGCTCAGGCTTCCTTATGACTGGTTAAGGAGGATGGGCCATGACCCTCCACGCTGGCCCAATGCGGATTGGAGGGTATTAAAGACTGCAAATGCAGCCGAGACCAACGGCTTAATGTGCCTTCCGAAGCACGGAGTAGCTCGAGATAATCATTTTTTGGTCACCCATCCCGTGACCGACCCTTGCGAAAGTTGCTTAACGACTACGATCGTGGGCTGCGGCGCTTATCCAATACGCCAACGAGCTACTCCATCGATCCATCATCCGACTGAATTAAGCCATATGTCCGAATTTGACATATTCGCTTTTGCACTAGTGAATTTTTTTTCGGAGGTCTATGGTTTAAACAAGTACTAACTTTTGTCCTCCTTTTATAATAATACGGTTTGGGTCCGCCCATTGCTGGGGTCTTCGACTGTTCGTTGGGTCAACCTAAATAACTGCTACGGAATACGTACAAGAAAGACTCGCGGACATATAAGGTGGTATGTTCCTCTTGAACCTTTGGCATTACTAAGCATGCTATCACAGAAAACGGCTTGTCCTGTACTGGGTACATTGCTATACGCTTCTTATGACTTTCTTTCGGAAGAAACTGCAAGGAATTATAAAAAAGAAATGCTTATCAGATATAGTTTTCCGTTAAAAGAATTCTTGAGGATTACACATTTATTATTCATAGCGCAACAAAATATTTTGAAGTGACTATATTCTAGTAGGTGGTAGTAGTACTACTACAATCGGACCCCTCTGGCTCCTTGTCGGTAATTTAATTTTGTAGTAGTAATATTGGGAAATTTTGACTTTTATTCTTGGTTATCAAGCCACCATTACGTAAATCTTGTCGCAAAATCATCTACCGTCGAATGGCGAACCTAGGGCCACGTACTCCACTTTGAGAAACCCTGTTCTATGGCAGTAAGTTTATGCCTATGGCGAATACTAGACTATCGGCCAGTTACACAAATGTTCATTAAAATTGACATTAGTTTTTTAGCGACATAATGTCGCTAAGAACTAATACTAAACCATACAAATTTGACATTCATTAGAGCCTTAAAGATGTCATTAAACCCTAATGGACGTTTGTGCAACTGACCGTATGCTATGCTAAATCCTAATCTAAACCTAATTGAAGTACTTTTAATTTCATTTGATAACAAAATTACTTGTGTAATTAATTAATTATTAATAATTAATTTACTAACTGGACCAACCACTTCTTGAAAATATTCCCCAAAAGTATTGAAAGGCTCTGTAACCTCCCCAAAGGATTTTATAACTGTCATAAGCTTCGGTGTCATCTACAAAAAAATAACAAATTCCAAAGTTTAGCTCGCTCTTCTTCCTTGTGATGTCACTTCTCTGCTTCGCTTTGATAAATAAATGATAAATATCATTGATTTGACCTTAATAGGAATTAGATATTTAAACAAAGCGAAAAATGCTTGAAATATATTATAAATGTCAAACGAAAGGCTTGAATGCTAATTGCAATATTTATACTAAGTATTGATTGTGTTTTTTGATCATTCAAATCATTATTTAATCCAAAAAAGATTGATAAGTTGTAATAGAGTTTTAATAGAGCTCGTGGGTTAATAATCTACCTTCAAAATTTGTCACAATTCCTTTCAAATGAATAGAGATCGTGATATCGATGGAATTATGTTACTTTTAAAGTTGCAATCACTTTTAGGTTACTCATTGACGTTCCTCAATAGCTTTCAGCCTCAATAGCTTTAGGACGACCTCCGTAGCCGAGTGGTTCGCACGACGGTTTCAAGGTGTCGCCATCTCTGAGGTCCCGGGTTCGATTCCCGGTCGGCTCAATGTAGAAAATGAACTTTTCTATATTGACTCGGGTCTGGGTGTTGTGGTACCTTCGTTGTCTCAGATACTCCATAATACGGGGGCTTTAGCTACTCATCTTGGAATCTGAGCAATGTAAGTGTGATGTTGTTAAATATTTATTTATTTATTTATTTCAAAGTAATATTCGAGTGTAACTATTTAGCATCAAATTAAAATAATCGTTCATTCAATACATTACAAAAAACTTCATGATTGCAATCGCTATTACATATCAGAAATTAGTGAATATCTTTTGAATGTCAAATTGGAAGAGATTGTGCTGGATTTTAAAATTAGACAATTAATGCGCCTACCACACGTGCATGCTTGACCACAGTTTTACTTGCGCATGCCGGCTTGTACACTGAACACTGTACGTGTAGTTGGTAAAATGGTAGCATGCGCAAACCCCAAAGCCGGCATGCGCAAGTAAAACTGTGGTCAAGCATGCACGTGTGGTAGGCGCCTAAGTCTCTGGCAAACCTTGAGGCTTCAGCTGCCTAGCCTATCTGGCCAGCTAGGATGCTTTATAAAGCCGCTTTATAATAAATCTTATGAAATAATAAATTTCATGTAAGTAAATATGTAGATTGGTTGGTTAAATTGTTTACGAGTTGTGAAGGGGGTGCAAATAAGCACAATTTATTCGTGTAATATGTGGAATAACAGTTTTTTTTAAAATGCTCTACTTCTCTATATCTGGGCGTCGAAATAAGCTACACCGATACAGACATAAGCTATACCGATATCGTAAAAATACTTTATTGTCACGCTGAGGCTTGGTATAGTACACAATTTTAGTTTTTCAGTCGTGACGTGATGTGAAAAATACGGAACTGAGTAATATTCATCGAAATCACGTCAAAATGAAGAAGGGTTTATGTAATCTGTTAAAAGAATTGAGGTACTTGTCTGTAGACGCTACCGCATATGTTTTACCGACTTAATTTAAAATTTATTTTTCTAAAAAATCTCACATCAATTTTACGTTTACGCAATAGAACAGTTGTTCCCACTGCTTCTATATAGGCTTCCATACGATCTCCGTTAATTATTATTAGCAGTACCAATTCAGCATCGCATTCTTCCGCTAACTGAAAACACAAGATGAATGTAAGAAAAGCCAATATAAAGGCTATCAAAATTTTTACACAATACAATTTGTTATATAAGAGTCTTACGTATGCATTTATTTTTATTTGTGATTGTGCACATGTATCATCATTAAGATTCATTACTAAATCTAAAATTTTTCCAGGGTCGCTATATTGAATACTTTTACGCTTTGAATGTTTCCTTTGGAAAGCCATATTTATAAAATAATATTAAAACGCACAATTGTTTATGGAGACGATTACTTTTGTATAATCTATTTTAGATTAAACGGCACTTAGGAAAATATATTAAGTATAAAATCAATGGGTAAAGTCACAAACATAAAAATAAAAAATATAAAACCTTTTTTACTGAAACTGCTTTTGAATTTACTGCTGCTTGATTCATATACATTATCTATAGCTTATCGCAGGGGATCCTTACTATCTTACTCTTTGGTGCTTCAGTGCTCAATCTACATAGACGGAGAGGCTGGGATAAATTATAAAGCTTATTTAACAGAGGTCTGTTTACGGTGGTGATGTGTAACGTGACAGGCCGATATGTCGATATCAATAACTAACTTCAAAAAAGGAGGTTCTTAGTTTGACTTCAAAAATTAAAATAAAAAATAGTTTATTGCTGAAATCATTTGGTTACAAATTAATACGCCAAGACTTCCCAGTGAGTAATCAAAGACACTCGTTACCTATGTGAATGAATCGAAACTTCCCCATTGTCTATCAAAGATTTCATACAAATTTTGTGTGACCTGTTAATACATATAGTATGTATGATTGTGTGCGATTATCTCACTTTTGGCTGAACCGATTTTGATGCAGTTTTCAGCTTAGTATTTGTCAGACTTAAAAACAGTGTTTTAAAAACTTATTTTTAATTAAATAATTGAATATACTATTTACTCTTTGGAATTTGAAAGATAAGTTGTTTTCCCTCTCATTTTTATTTTATTTGAATCAAAAGGAACATATTAAACTTTATTACCAATTTATTACTAATTCGAAGCACATTTTTTTCACAGGTACACTTAAAAAAAAAATCTCAAATATCAATATCGGTCATTACTGTTGCACTATATTTCTTGTATCGATAAACTGCTATTTCATAAAGGATAAGTGATTTCTGAAAATAAGTTACAGAATACCAAAATCACACGATTTATTTTTTATTTTTATTTATACTCTGCATGCGATATTAGGTTTCGATAATTTAAATTTTCGAAATCGATATTTAACCTATTCATTATATATTGGTTATCCGATACATCATTGTACATCCCTAAACCGAACCAAACTCCGACGACCAATATTGTCAAAACAGCTGATTTGTGGAAAATTCGATTTTTGGATACTCTGTCGATTTCTCCAAAAGATATACAATTACGATATGGCGGAAATACAAACACTCATTGAAATGGGATTTTCAAAAGAACGAGCGTAAGTATATTTGAACGCTTTCATAGATACAGACAATGCTACTTCGTTCAAAGGTTATGTTTTGCTTAATTTCTGAATTTCGGTTTTTAGGGAGAAAGCTCTGGCTATTACTAACTATAAAGGCGTGGAGCCTGCTATGGAGTGGTTATTAGCTCACGCAGATGACCCGCAAATGGAGACTGGGCAAACTGTTGGTGGCAGTTCTACAGTGACTGCTCCTGAAGCGACGCCGGTCGTCGAATCTGCAGAAGCCCAATCTGCTGATGAGGCAAAATCATTTAAATGTGATGAATGCGGCAAACTGTTCAAAGATCAAGACGAGATGGAATTTCACGCGGCAAAAACAAACCATAGCAGTTTCTCAGAGTCTACAGAGGAAAAAAAACCATTGACTGAAGAGGAGAAAAAAGCTCAATTAGCACTACTCGAGGAGAGAATGAAGCAGAAAAGAAAAGAGAGAGAAGAAAGGGAAAAGGTTAGTTTTTGTAATACTTATATAGGTAGTTTGTAATTTTATTTTACCAAATATTAGCATTGCCAGACTTGTTTAAGACAAAGCAAATTTTTATACTACAGTAGTCATAAAATTTATGAAACATTGCTTAAGATAAATTTTTATTTTTTTTATTTAGACTTAATATTCCTTCTCATTCTATTGAATATGTTAATAATTTGGTACTTTCAATCACCTTGCTCTTTTATTTTATACAATTATGTATAATGCAACAATAAGCAAACTTACAGTGTTGTGTGATACATATGGTGTTGCTTATTAATACTCCTTGTATTATTAAAATATTTTAGGCAGAAGCATTAGAACGTGAGCGCCTCCGTATTAAGTCAGGAAAAGATCTGCAAGATGCTCGTTTAAGGCTACAGGAACAGGAGATGATGAAACTAGTTGAGCAAAGGAGAAGGGAAAAGATAGAGGATCAAAAAGCGAGAGAACGAGTTAGAGCACAAATAGAAGCAGACAAACAAGCCAGAAAGTCAGTGTATGCTTTTTTTTATATAATACAGTACTTAAAATTTTAAGTATTGTAAATTTAAAATAGTAAAAGGAATCAAATTCGGCCAAAATTTTTAATTGACTTCAAAATATCAAATACTCTCAAGTGCTGCTTGTAAATTTAATAGATTTTTAATGATATTGTCACTTAGTATTTTTGGATTTATAAAGCTTTATAACAATTAAACCATCACCAGATGGTAACCGTAAGCGGCACAATCAGTATTAAACTATAACTTCAACATATTAAGCCTGCAAACTGATAATACAATACAGCAACCTTATATTTGCTGTGAACATATGCCTAGTTATGATGATCTCCGCAGAGGTGTGGTCTAGCGATGGGCGATTGTTGCAAAAAACATTCTACTGAATCAAAAATTGTGCTATTGCGCATTCGATTGTCGATATAGTAGTTCCCTACCATGATTATTCGAATAACAATCGTCTTAACTACTAACTGTATGCACACTGTGATCATTCTGTGCTATGCGCATGTGGTCGGTTAACTGCGCAGAGTATTATGGTGTTGCGTTGATTGTTTGCTTACTTTATTAGTAATTAGTTGGTATTTATATTATTATATATAACAAGTAAGATTATACAAAAAACCGGCCAAGTGCGAATCGTACTCGCGCACGAAAGGTTCCGTACAAGAAGCGAGCAAAAAAATTTCAACTGTCTTGTTATCACAGTTCATGAACCGTCACGAAATACAGCTTGATGACAGACAGACGGACGCATGTATGGACGGACGAACAGCGAAGTCTCAGTGATAGGGTCTCGTTTTTACCCCTTCGGTACGGAACCCTAAAAAGATTTAGTAGATTAGCGATGGTACATTTCAAGGTTTGTTTGTATGATATTTCAATATTATTCGTCGCTCGATAGTGTAGATGAGTAACAACTACATTGCGACGATTGGATGTGCCCTCAAATCGGTGGATTGATTACTAAACAGACAACTAAATGACCTATTAGCGCCAATCACATAAGTCGAGCGCAGCGCACCATAAGTAGTACGCACGGGTATAGTAATATGGCACTGCGCTAGAAATGAATCGAACAAGTAATTACGGTAACCACAGCGTGTCATAGCTGCCCGCTGCCTCCGCAAGGTGTAGTTGTTAACAACAATCGAATAACATCAATTGTAATCGACTTTTATCGACTAAGGTGAACAATCGACTAATTCGATTTTTTAAGTAATAATCTCCCGTCGCTAGTGTGGTCCACTTGATGGTTACAACTTATAGAAAACAAACTTTTCTATTTTCTACATCTGGGTGTTGTGCTACCTTCCTTTTTTCTGATATTCAATAATACAAGGATTTAAGTTATTCATTCTAGCATTAAAAGACATGCAAACTTGTCTCACTTATTCCACTTACCTCAGATACCCAATAAAATGTATAAATAAATATTTGTCATGTGTACAGAAGGTTCCAATAGGCATTTCAATTATAGAGGTGCATTTATTATATAATTGTATTTTGTAAACTTTTATTAATAGAACGTTATCGGTGCTATTAATAAACAAGGTTTAGTGTCAGAGTAAATTTACGCTAAAATTGTAATTTTAGTTTTAGTTCAAATTCATATTATATAGAGAATAAGCAAACCTACTACCTTCTAGTGGTCAATATTACTCCCGTAGAACCTCATACTAGGTTAACCTTTGCTAAATCTCTGTTTAATAATAAGAATTTTAAGTAATATTTAGTGCAAACACTGCATGCATATGTACATGAGTTTTAATCTTTATTGGGAATTAAAAAAAAGTTAATGCATAAATGTAATAAACGAAAGTATTGAAGCATGTATTAATTATAAAAATCGGTCATTTTAGTATGTCTTTTGGAGGCCTATCAAATAAGCCATATAATAGTAAAGCAAAATTTATACTGAAGACTCTAGACTCAAAATTTAGTTAAATGCGGAATTTGCATGTATAATAAGAGTAGACGTGATTACAATATAATCGAAAGACAATAAAATCGAAAGAATGTATCTGCTATATAGTATATTGTAATTTGACAGTTTAGAATATATTACGACCTGACATACTTTCAATCGTATTGTACCTATATTTAAAATAAAGTGAAATTTGAATTGAAATATAAGTGTAGAGTTTGACATCTTGTTTAGACTGGCAGCGTCGAAGTCGTCGACGCCAGCAGAGCCGGCGGAGACGAAGCCGCCGATGGCCGCAGAGCCGGCGGCGGCTACAGTGACGGGCGCGTGCCGCAACTACGAGCAGGCGCGGATACAGCTGCGGCTGCCCGACGGCAAGGCACTGCTGCACACGTTCGGGGCTAAAGAACAACTGGCAGCTGTCAGGTAGGTACGATTAAGAGGACCTCTAAACCACTCAATGAGAGCTACCGTGTTTTCGCTCTTCAGATGGCGCGACAGTCGCGAGAGGTCCTGTCAAAGTTTGAACTTAAATTATACATCACGATACTTATATAAACCATTTTATTAAAAATATCGAACACGTCCAATAAACACTAACCTCTGATTTAGCTCTTTCATCCCGCTTAACTATGCACTACTTTTTCTTACTTTCGTTTTTAAAGCACTGACATTAATTGACCGGTAATTCATAAATAATGTATCTCAGGTACTGCAAAATAAGCGCCAAAATTCGTTTATTTGAAAAGAAACGCGTAGTTCCTTGACATTATATGATATAAGATATTTGACATTTTGAAGACCTCACGCTACAATATGCGCCTCGTGGCAAATTAAAACGCGTTAGCCCTCAATGATCAGATGACGTTTTTTATTCTGTTATGTTAATATTGTAATGACTTCGATGAATGAAAAGTGACTTCAGAGATTGATATTGTATAAATCTTGTAATGGCATGGTTTTTGTAAATGTTATTTTGATTAGCACTGGTGAGTTTTGCTTGTTTGTATCAGATAAAATACATCCTGAAGAGTGTAGGGAAAAAATGTTGGATGATTCAAACATATTACACTAATAAAAGTATTATAACTGTGACTTTAAACAGTAATTAAAAATTTAGATCAAGTAGGTTTAAAATTTTTATGAATACTTTTTTGGTAAAATTGGGTTTAATATGAAAGTTGACTTGAGGTGGTCATCGACTTGAACGCCATTTTCAACTTTTCCATTCTGATGTAAAACCGTCATCATCATTATCATCACCCTTTTTGTGTCCCCACTGCAGGGGTCAGGCCTTCCCTATGGATGGTTAAGGAGGATGGGCTTATTCCAAAAAAACAGGAGCCTCCCCCCCTCCTGTTAACAATTAAATTACAATCATGAATTTTTTATATCTATATTTGAATTATTTCAAGATATTATGATATATGCTGGATAAATAAATAGATAACTAACGCGAAAATAAATTAACCCCAAATTATTTGAAAAAACAAATGTTCATACGACAACTTGACGCAAAACGGGTCGGGCCCATTCAAAATGGAGCGTCTGATCTCCTTAGCCATGACCCTCCACGCTCATCCAATGCGGATAGGTGGGTATTAATGACTGAAATTGTAGCCGAGAATAAAGGCTTAACGTGCCTTCCGAAGCACGGCGAGCCCGACAATAATTTGTGACAAACCCTTGCGAAATTTGCTCGAAACAACGATTGCGGGCCGCGGCGCTTATCCACAACTACTACTCTAATATAAAACCATCGTATCTTCCCCGTTTTGCAAATCAGGTATTCAAATATTAATAATTAAATTGTATTTATGATTTCAGATTATTTTTACAAATGAATGCTCAGGAGTTCGCTCAGCAGGAGAATTTTAAACTGATGACCACATTCCCCAAGAAAATATTCACATCTGATGATTACGAAAAGCCTTTGGAATTATTAGGTAAGTATTTCTTATTTGTATGAATATTCTGTAACATTTTATTTCCAAACAGACAGACAACTTAGTATAATTATCATATTGTTTTATATCTATAGTATAATATATAATAGTGTGCATTTTATATTTGCACTTATTTTAGAGTAGTTTCTAACAAACATTCTTGGTTTAATATTAAAAAATAACCAGGGCCTCAATTTCGCTAATGTGCACATGATAATCTTATAATGGTTATCGCATATCTGTCAGAGCCAAAGGAAGCACATAAAACTAATTATTTACACCTTTTAAATTAATGACATCTTTAGAATTCCAACAATTCGACGCGTACTTGTGTTTGTACTATACAAAGTCTGCAATACTTTTTTGTTTCGCATTCTTCGCCGCATTGCAGTCTGCTAGATGTGCGACTACCTTTAGTATCTTATGGAGTAGACTAATAACTAGAATTGTGTCCAAAATTTAGACATTAGCAGAATTAAGCTCCTGTATAGGTGACAGGTGAAAATTTTACACATTTACGACCTTACTAAAAAGCAATGTATGAGCTTTGTATAGTTGTTCAGTGTTTTGTATTTTTTACCTGAACTGAATAACGGCAATATTTTTTTTATTATAGACAAAAAATAGTTGAGTAGCTTAAATATGTTTACCATTTCATCGGATAGTTATTTTTAAACGGATTATCTCGCTTTTATATGTGAAAATTATTTTATTCTGATTCTTATGACTTTCATGATAAGGTATTGTATTATAAATAACACTGATGATTTGTTTTGTTTCAGGTCTTGTCCCATCAGCCGTCATAATTGTTTCAAAAGGCGTATAGCCCAATTATGAATAAGGGCAGCGATGCGTGATGGACGTGTGACTCGTATAAACGGGATGCGGTATAAAAATTATAATGTATTTAACGTACAATGAAAATAAAAGTTTGTGTATGTACTCTATTTATTTTTTATTATTTTAACTTACATCCAGTTTCTGAATTGAGTATTCAAAGTTAAGCACGTCTCAAATTGTACTCAAATATAAAATTATTTAGAATAATATTAGTGATATTTGTACTTTTTTTAATTCAGGAACCGGCATTAATCACCAATAGTCAAGTTATTATCAGTCTTATTATAAAACCAGGATTAAGTTTAGTACCAGGTTTAATCTATTATCTGACCCTAATATGTCAAAACATCTCAATATGACGTTTTCTCCAAGTACTGACTTAAGTTTTTGTTTTATAATAAGACTAGAAATTTCATTTGTAAAAAACTCCCTTGTTGACTGAAATTTGGGTCCATTTTTATTATGGTGTTTAATGACAAAAATAAATATTGTGTCTGCTAAAAAAAAAAAAATATCCTAGGTCAAAGGTCACGAAAAATCATACACATCTCGCGTAGTACTATTGTAACTACGATTGTCTATTAAATGTCTTGAAATTTTCTGTACGATGAACCGTTTTTGAAATAGAGCATAGAGAAAGCAGCTAGAATGTATTCACATGGGATATTGTATACTGTACCGTACAATATTAGGATCTTAACAGGTATGAAAGGACATCTACTAGTAAAAAAATTAACTAGTTTTTAGAATTTTTTATTACCAAATGAGTTAAGTACACGGTAAAAAAAAAGCAACACTAGGGTTACATACAATATTTATACTTATGTATAATACTAGGCACGTAAGTTGGACCAAATGGTGACTGTAGAACATTTTAGGGTTAGAAGTGGAAGGGGGGAACCATTGCAACGCAGCATATCGGATACCGGAACCAGAAAAATTGCAAAGTTGGTTCAACTTACATGCCAAGCCTATTGACAGGTTCTATTAAGGCTTATTTAAAATTACTGCGTAATTTGGTCTTTCTTGGGTCGTTTAAATTAAAACACTGATGCCCGTTTTCAATAAACTTAGGAGTCGGCCAAATCTGTCGCCTATATATTTAGGAAACGCCTAAGGTAAAAATGCATTTCACCATTGACTAGGAACTATCTAACGAAATTAAGCAATGTCTCAAGTTATGATAATTGTTATGTGGAGTCTTGCGCTCGGCGTTTGCATTTATGACAGGTCATAAATATGTCAATGGATAAAAGAAAAAAAAAATATTTGAAATCAAACTAATCTGCTTAGGCGATTCGTAATATTAGGCGTTCCTTAGTTAACCTAACTAATCCCACGCGCCTCTTAAGAGGCGTTGGTCACGTGACACGCCGTTCCCGCGAGCCTCTTAAGAGGTTCGCAAGCCAGCAGTCAATAAACATATGTATTTTTCAAGTAATCTATCTATATAACAAGAAAAACAGGAGCAATGTAAGTGTTATAATATTTTCACAAAAAAAAATTGTGTGTAGATCGGATGAATAAATGGCGCGAATAAGTATGCTACTTTCAAACGCGTGATTATTGATTTTTTAACTTTAGAAACATACGTCTTTTATACATCGATTATAATGGTTATATATTGCTAATTAAAAATATATATAATCATTTATTTTGATTATTATAATTATCGATTACACACTTTTTTATTTAAAAGCCGCTGCCAAATTTTAACTTTCATGCGAACTATAAGGGATGGGATCAGTTAGGTTAAGCTATGCCTTGTTCCAGATTAGAGAAAATGGGTGTGACATTCTCATTCTTTGTCACTAATTTTCAAGATCTCGCATTCAAGAGACTATAAGGAAGTAAGCGTATTCGCTGCGCTAAAAAAAATTAACTCCATTCGCTTTTAATAAGTTTATCAATATCTAGCAGATAATACAGAATGTCTAATTGTTGGTAAATACATTGCATAAACAGTGCTAGCCTCTATTTTGTACCATAAAATGTAAAAAATACTTTAAATATTTACACATTTACAATTCAATATTTTTTCAACCGACCAGACATTTTATTAACATTGCATCATTACTGCGTTTTTATTAAGGTTAATATTGATAGGTATCAATAATGTGAACTAAAATAATATTACGCAAACTTTTATTAAAAAAAAAACTCATGTGCAAAGCAATATTTTTTTATAATAAAAATATAAAAGCTGTACATACTATTATTCATTGTATAATTATTATGTTTATTTCTAAAGTATCCAATTCACAAAAAAAATGAGTTAAAAAATCACTGTAACATAAATTAATATTAGTTAATGTTAAAGGCTAAACTAGACTTCAACAGTAAAAAAAACAAATACGAATTATAACTAAATCATGAAAAAATATTTTTCTCAACATTCGTCTAATTGAAAGTTTATTGTCAAGAAATGACAAATTATCTTCTAATGATGTGATTAGAAAATTTCAGAATTTACATGTTTACGAAATTACCTCAAAAGAGACGCAAAGCAAATTTACTGTGAACTTTACAGTTTTCACTCGACCTTCGTGCTGTCATTGCATGAATCATAAATATTTGGAATGGAATCCATAATCAGTAATAAAAAAAAACATTCAACATAATTGGATAAAATTCCACTAAAGCTACTTTTTTATTTAATGGTATATTTAAAACTAATTAATTTACTATAGTATAAAGTCACACCCACAAGAATCCATATACAAACGTGGCACGGTAAAATTATATATATAAAATACAATAAAAAAAAATTGAATTATGCACTAATAAAAATTATAAGTTAATGAATAGATATTAAATTTAAGTAACCTTGATTTAATTCTAGTGTTAAATTGTTCAATTTAACAATAGATATAACAATAGATAGTTCAAGAAGTTACGCGCTTAAGAGTCACGAACTAAAAAAATGTTATATTTCTGTCGGAACAATTGTGTTTTTTGCTACCGACATCAATATTTTGTATTATTTCATTAAATTAGAAAACATTATGTCATTATTGTATAAAATAAATAATAAATATGACTTGACATATAATTTAAGATCAGTCAATAGTTAGTTAAAAATAATAATGATAACATTGTGAACCTTCAAACTTGATAGTAGGTTAAGTACCGAAGTTTTTATAATGCTTAGAAATTGAGCATTTCATGTCATATGTAGAATCCTACATTACCCCAGAGCTTTTACTTTGAAGTTTTAAGTATATGCCACAGTATCACTGTCTCTACCTAACTGCTTAGCCCAACATATCTACACCTATACATACAAATATGAGTAGATATGTTGTGGTCATCATAGCTGTATTTTATCATTAGGTAGAAACAAAGATATTGAGTCAAACCAAGTTTGCAAAAAAATCCCAATGCTTATGCAAAGTCATATTAATGTTTCCACGAATCCGAAAGCGAATTTTCGCGCCAGCATTCAAAATTTAATACCGCCGCCGGTTTTAATTAAAGTACTTTAAATTGATTACAAAGTGAACCATTGTAACCATGTTACAAGTTTATAAAGTTCTACATAAAGTTTGTTTGGGGGTTTCTCATTATGAGGATACAATATACCACTAGTACTGTCACAGTTGGTTATAATAGGCACTTGTCTATTTAATTTCCTATGTTTAATACCATCACAGGAGGTTAAATTCAATTTTTTATCGAAACATATTCGTATTTCTACTAAAAATGTCCTACCATCTTCTATTCTACACTGTATGGACGGATTGACTTTCAATTTATTTTTAACAGCATTGTAAATGTCAATAAGTTTATATTCTTTATCATTGTCAGGCACTATTCCAGCTTGTGCTAGAACAACAGACATGTCATATTGCTGGAAGAAATTTAAACCCTTGGAGAAGTATTTAAATTGTGAGCTCAGGGGTTCTAAAACAGCGGCACATGTTCCATGCTTGGTCCATTCGTGAGCCCAAAATGAGTAGATTTCAGTACCTGAAATGATTTTCAACTGAGTCATTATACAAATGTCAATTTGGGCTTGTAATATGTGGCATAATGACAAATTATATAAAATTCACAACCCATACCTTCAAATAACATAACTTTATTTAATATATTGATTATTTCAAATAATAAATGGAAAATAGCGTGGACAACCCGTGACCACGGTCGGTATAACCCGGTCGAACGTCGGGAAATATAGGAACTATCAATCTATCGCATTAATACCCGGTTCATACAATCTAATATAATGCAACGTCAAAGTTTAAAAGTTTATATAGATTTACTTTTCCTCCTAAGGAAAACACAGTAGTGATAATAGTGGCGTAGCTAAGTGGTACTCAAAGGTTCTGCTTGGTCGTGCATTGCGATGAACTAATTTTTTCAATGATAGCTTTGTTTAATAAATTCCATTCAATTAATATAATAATAAGTAAATTATATTTGCTAATTAAAAAACTTACATATCTATTTATTATTAGAAGTTCTACTAAAGTTGCTGGAAATATATATCTCATTATGTGTGAAATGCTGAAAGAGTTTAGACTAGCTATCCCTGTGAACTTATACTTCCTGAGAATCAAATGAGTGTCAAACTTCAATAATATAAATTTTTGAGCATCCTACCTGTCCAGTATAAACAGTTTCTGTAGGAAAACAAAATTGTTGTTTTCCTATTTCCTTGCAATTTTTTAATATCTCACATTTTTAAACTTCCTCTGTTGGACTTCCAGGTTAACAAAAATAGTAACTCTGTCAATTAATATGGGTGATTTTTTCGCAAAAAGGTTCTTTTGCACTTAAGAACAATTTTGGTTTAGGGAGTCTATATATTTGCTTTCTATTTCTAGTGTCTATATTTTAGTCAAAAGAGTTAACAATACTGACCTTCTTCAATATTAGTCCAGACATTGATCAAATCTGTTTCAATAGGCCTGATCTCCTCTGGATCGAAGAACCAAGTTCTGTTGCAGAAGGATGGTCCTAAGGTACCTAGTTTTGTGGGCCAAATGCCATGAATTGACCATGAATCATCTTTTTTGGGCATTTTACAAGTATGAGATGGGTTGTGGTGAACCCATTCCTTGCAAACAGTTTCAGGCCATTGTTGAGTAAAAATTAACACATCCCAGTCATGATTATTTTCGAGTTCTTGTAGATGTGCTTTATTCACACTGAAAATTAAAAATGGTTTTATATAAACAATTAATCACAAAATACAAACACTTATAATAGGGGTTAAAGTATGAAATTGCCGATTTATACTGCAAATCAAAATTGTTTATTTTTTTTTATTTTTAACAAATTTATTTAATCAAAATAGTTACCATTATACATATATACATTGCTACCATCTAAAGGAAGGTCACTTATGCCTTTGCGATAGAACACTGAGGATCTAGACTACACAAACTGTGTAAAATCTTTTTGTACTGCCTCCTGGGAAGATAACTTCCTGTCACGTAGATAATTGTCCAAATCACGAGAAAAACGGTAGTCCGTTGGACCAAGGTCTGGCGAATACGGAGCATGACGAATGGTTTCTAGCTGCAGTTCCTGAAGGGTCAAAACGGTTTCTCGTGCTGAGGTCTCGCGTTGTCATGGAGCAATAATGGTGAAGATAGATTCATGAGTTGGGGCTGTTTTATTGCTAGTTTTGCCAACATTGTTCGGAACGCCGACAATAGACATCTGCCGTTATTGCTTGACCAGGTCGGGGAAACTTATAGTGAATAACACCATGCTGCGACCACCAAACAGTTACAATTACCTTTTTATTGATAAGTTTTGCTTTAGGACACTATTGTGGCGTTTGACCTGGGGTCAGCCTTTGCATTTTTCTTTTAAGGTTATTATAAAGAATCCACTTTTCATAACATATCACAATTCGTTCCAATATTCCTTTATTTCTGTACCGATTCAACAAGGTAACACAAGTTTCAACACACATTTCTTTCTGTAGATCAGTCAAATCATGAGGCACCCATTTTCCACATTTTTTTATTTTATTGATTTGATGCAAATAAGTCAATATTGTGGGTAAGGTAACGTCAAACCATGCCGCTAATTCCCGGGTAGTTTGACTAGGATCGGCTTTCATCATCTCTCTCAATTCATTGTTGTTCACCTGTGTGGGCGGTCTTCCTCGTGGCTCGTTCTTCAAGTCGAAGTTTCCATCACGAAAGCGTTTAAACCAAAATCTCACAGTGCGTTCATTAACAGTCTCCTCTCCAAACGTAACAATAATAAAAACAATTGAAAGTCGATATTCAAATGATTCACATTTTTTAAAAGAAGAACATCATAGAAACCATCTGAAAAAAGTTTCTTACAAAAACCTCAAGCTATGAAGATTCTATTCAATTCAAGGAACATATTACAATAAAACGGAAATTTCATACTTTAACCTCCTAATACTAAGGGCCAGTTTTTTGATCCGTGGTTAACTCAACCATTTGTTAAAATCTTTGACATACTTTAGGTAGTATAATTTTATGTTATCTGGAGCTCTAACTAAAAAGGAGTATGGAATCCCGTCTAAGCCCGGAGAACTGTCCTTTAAGCCAGAAAGTGCTTTTTGAAGCTCTTCAATCGAGAATAATCCATCTAGCATTCCTGTTGAAGGTAGTATCACACTGGTGTTGATATGTAGGCAATCAATATTTGGGATAATATTGATTGCCTACATATCAACACCAGCAAATGCTTCTATCCAAGTTGAAGAATCATTATGTGTTAAATTGGAGCGATAACGTGATCTGCGAAACTTTTGCAGCTGTTTCCACACAATGGTTGAGGTATATACAAACATTTGCCCCGGGTACCCCCCGGGGCAAATGTTTCACAGAACCTATTCCAACCCGTCCTTTTCTTTATCTTTAGAAGCTTTTTAGTTTGAGCAGCTATTCTTTGATAGGATACAAAGTTATCCATGGTCATGGAGTTTCTATAATTTTTTTCAGCATTTTTCCTCATTTTTATTGCTTCTGTACATTCCGAATCCCACGAGGGGGGTGATAGTTTTTTCCGTGTACAGTTTCAGTTTTTGTAAAATTCACATTTGCTGCTTCCATTAAAGACTCGACCAATGCTTCGTAAGCCATGTTAGCATTATCTATTGTCACCACAGGAGAGTGTCAGTATTACCTTCCAGTGTCCTAAAATAGACTGCCCAGTTTGCTTTTTGCAGTCGGAATTGAAGTAAAGGAGGGGGACGGTTGATGGAAGGCGGACTATCTTAGGTTGAAATTAAAATAGGGAAGTGGTCACTGCCATGTGTACTTTGGAGTGTATTCCAAGAAATATTTGATGCCAGTGTGGGAGTGCATATTGTGATGTCTACTGTCGATGGATTTTGATCAGGACGGGTTCTTCTGGTGGGACTACCGTCGTTCATTAAACAAAGATCTCTCTCATCTAATAGGTTAATTATTTGGACACCAAGTGAGTCATTTGTAGCAGAACCCCATACCACATGATGTGCATTAAAATTGCCCAATAATATTAGAGGAGGCGAGAGAGACATGATAATAGATTTCAGTTCTTCTATAACAATATTAGGTGGCGATTTGGGACGTATATACACAGAAAGGTAGGTGGTATTTACAACTTTCACAGCTACTGCATTAATGCAGTCACTGAGGGGTGGGAGTCCATTTTATTGAAGAGTAGGGAGTAACTGATAAACAGTGCACTCCCTCCATAGCCATCTCCCCTGTCATCCCGGAGACAGGAGTATAATTGACTTTTATTGATACAAATAAATTTATTAAGTTGGTTTATTTTTTGAGCAACGTTGGACGGTACAAGGATGTCATCAAATCTATTAAGAAGACTAAAAACGAAGGTAAGAAGGGTTTCTAATAAGTTGTCATTAGGAGTAGTATCTTTGGACTCTGGTAGGCATTCATTGCTGAGAGCACATCCATTTGGAAGGGAAGAGGGGGAGTTTTGAATGATGGCCTGATGAGCCAGACTATCATACCCAGGGTTCAATATAGTCCTAGGTTAATGAGATTGCACTACAGTTTTTTTATACGATATTATACCTGCTGGAGTCTTGGGTGAAGATATCGGAGATTGTGGAGCATATGTGTGCTGAGTAGACGGTGAAGATTGAGCAATTTCAGCATAGGACCTCTTAACTGCAGGAAATCTTTGGGAGGCTTCCTGATATGATATGTTATCCTGAGACATAAGTTTTTTAATTGATTGTTGTCGAGAATGTTCCAGAATGTGCCAGACTATATTTGTAGCAAAATGATAACCCGAACAAAAATGGCAGGTAGCTTTAGATTCCTCAACAACACAGGACGCACCAGTATGTGGTTGCGCACAGCGGAAGCAGCGCGGTTTTGGGCGGCATTGTGTTTTAATGTGTCCAAACCTACAGCAATTAAGACACTAAGATATAGTAGGGAGCTGGTATGTTTCAACAGGCAAGGATGTATGATAAACAAAAACTCTGTTAGGTAAGACCTGTCCTTGGAACGTTGGAAAAGGACTACTGTCTGAGTTGGGAGCCAGGTAACTTTGCCTTCTAATATGGTCTTTCTGTTAAGCCGTCTTGCCTTCAAAATTAAACCACAACTAACAGGGATTACTAGGGAATCTACCAGCTCTTCCATTGTGAGGTCAGAAGGAACACCTTTGACAATACCCATACGGGTAATATTGTAGTTAGTGATCTGTGCAGTATATTTATGGAGTGTTAAGAAAGGGTTATTTAAAAAATTATTTGCATCTATATTTGTCATAAATTCAACTGCAATTCTATTACGTCCAACTTTCTTAATACCATCACAGACTATATTTTTAATCTTATTTTTAACAAGAAATTGACCAAATTTAATAGGATGTATTGATATACCTGATGAAGGATCAGTCTCGATTTTTGAAATATGAACTATGAATGGTCCTTTATCGCTATCTATGTATCGTTTGCAGCCTTGACTTACTGATGGATGAATGTATAGTCCGGGAGAGGTAATCGACGTGTCAGACTGATTAATTTCGGTGCTTATTCTTTTAGTAGGTGAGTTGATCACCTCAGGTTCAGTCTCATTACGTCGCTTAACTCCTGTTTGTGAGAATAATTGGGGTGAAAACTCCATGTTTGAAAGTGGTGTGTTGGGCCGGTCCAGAGGATCTGGAGGATCGGGAGGAGTCCTTTCCATTGATTACTTTGTAATCAGTGGAAAGGACAGGAGAACATAAATAGGTACTTACCTATACCTGTTGTTAGTACACAGAACAGAACACAGAAAAGACAAACACTTAATTCCGTACAACCATGTAGAAAGTCTATAAATCACTAATAAATAAAGAAATCCCTTGAGCATGTGTAACAACTAACACTCGCAAGGGCAGAATCCGTTTTAACTATCGTCAAGTTAACAAATGGTGAAATGACATTTGACTACGGATCAAAAAACTGACCCCAAGTTGTCATTAAAATAATAAAAATCACTTTAAGTTAGTTGACAAAGATGTTAGTGTTATGTTAGAAAAACAAAAGAAAGGAGACGGCGGCTGCTCCATACATAGTTTGCCCACAAGTAAAAGTCTATGCATCACAACCAAATTTTGGATATCTCTATCAATAGTTTATTCAATAAGAAAAGCTAATATCATTTGTTACCCTAACTCTCAGCATTTTAATGTTAAAAGTATTTTTATGTCGCACTATTTTACCACAACATAACTATTTTTTCAGATACTTTATTGTTTTCTTTATACATTTCATCAGTTAACAATTAAATGTTTATATTTTATATTTTTCTAAATGTAATACAATTTTAAGATGATCACATCCTAATCTTATTAGGGGATTTTAATCAATTGAAAGATATAAGGGAAATAAAGTAACGCAGTAACCGTTTTTCACTAACAAACTAAATTCAAGGTACAATTTTCTCATTTATCCTACATGTCTTAGCAAATATCACACTTTTATGAACAAAAATATAAAGTAATTAAAACAACAAATTCTTTACATATTCTTTGAAGGGAGTGAAATAAAAAATTTATAATTTCAATATCATCATAACCATGTAGCCAATTCTTCACCATTGTTTCTAGGAATTAAGTGTGTACTTTTGTGGATCACATTATTAGATTCATTAAATAGGAAGTTTATACTTTCTGCATTAAAAATGTAGATTATTACAATTTTCATTATTATCTTATTTGCATGTTTTATATTTTAAAACATGAAAATAATTGTATTTTATAATTGTTATTTATTGTATTTTGAAATTCCTCTACATATGATGTTTCTGTATTTTACGTTAAAAATGTAAATTATATATATTTTTGGTATTATCTCATTAAGTCTTGCGTGTCTTTAATTTCAAACACGAAACGAATCGGGCAAATTTGAGCCGTCTCCTTTATATGGTGTTTGTTGCTGTGATATGCGCTACTATTTTAATAGTCAGTAAAAGTGTTTTGTAAACGTTTCTCTTGATTCGTACTGATGACTTAAAGTTGAAATAAATAGTTCATCTTTGTTTATCTTATAATGTTCTCTATAAATCAACAACACTCACCAATAGAATAATAATATAACAGCAAAGTCAATTTTATTCATGGCTACTGCTACTAACTCCGATTATTATTATAAAATATTATTTAATGATCATGAACATAAACGCAAAAAATTCATTACGATAACAAAAAAGTCCAGCTGTGAGCTGTCCGTGTCACAATGTCAAAACTAAGAAATTTTTTTTGGTCAAGAATAAGAAATTTAATCTATGCAGCCTTACAAATCTAACATAATTTTATATTTTTATTAGGTGTTTGACATTTTCTTAGAGAGAAAGCATTATTGTTTTATCTTCCGGGCTTATTATTGTTATATTTACAACCACAAAGGATAAAGAATATACTTTCAATATCTTTGTAATGGGTAAGTACTTAATAAAGCGTTACAGTGGTGCCAATGTGAAAAATAGAGATAGTTATTGGGTTTAGAGCCTGTAAGTTGCGTATAAAGGTGATAGAAAATAAAACAATTAATTTTTTATTATAAATGTTTACTACCCAAAAAATAGGGAGACATGAGATCTCAGGGTAAGGGTTCATATTTTACACTACCTTCGGTTCAAAATGTGTTTTGTATCTTCTAGAAAACAATCAATCAAATTGTGCCTGCGACGCGGAGAACAATAGCTTCGAGTAAGACTAATTGTCAAGCCTATCAATATATAAAATTATTTGTTTGTTTATCTTCGGACAGCAAATTTTAAAAGTTTAGGAAAAAATATTAGAATTAAAAAAAAATTACAAACCGTTACACAATTAAAAAAAGATATATTGTTCCAGAAATTTAACTAAAGTATAATATAGGTAGCTAAAATCAACCTTGGTGTGGCACCCGTCTATGTCGCATCTATATGAGGTGAGGCAGAGACAATTCCTTTCTTTTTATGTGACGCTAAGTACTTTATTTATTAATTATTGAAAATATTATTGAATTAGTTTACTTTATTGTTTCATTTATTTTTTTATTATGTCAATTCCAGTCTATCAGTAGTATCCTAGCACCTGTTCTATATTTCACATAAATTATACTTCCAATTATTCGACCTTCCTCCTAAGCTCATTATTTTTCCTTTTCCACTCTGCAAATCCAAGGTTCGCCTCATCTGGGGATGCGTAGCTAGGGTAGAGCTTAGTACTATGCATGCCGGCCAGCCTGGGGGCCTTGATTAAGACTTAACCGTCTCCGACATGTCGGGATATGCCAAATGTGAAATATTAAGTTTCGTGCATACTCATTTTGTTAGTGTGTTACTAACAAAACTAAACATGATGGCGATGGTGTCAGCGTACCACCACGACTCGTTTCCGGCAGGGGCGGACAACAAAACAAAGAGCAAGCGTTTTTGGTTTCAAGCGAGGCTGCAAAGGTGTCGGAGTAGTTCAGGATAAACGGTTCGCACTCCAATTGGCTTAATATCTATGTGTAGGTATTAGACACGGATGTGTTGCGTCACCGTGGCTATTCACTTATTAACTAGGATGAATTAGTTACTCGTCGAATGCCTTCTCTATCTCTCCCCAGTCGGTCCCTCATTACTCTGAGGATCGTGTTCACTAGACCTCGTCAAACAAACAATCCTTCTACAATAATTCCGGTCGGAAGTGGCTATAGAGTAGACTAGAGAGCGCATCGACTTATTCTCATTCCTTATTCTTGGTCAGTTTCGTTGATGTTTATTGGCTATTAAAAATCACCAGATACTTTGGGGTTGCCAAAGTGGCAAAAATATCGATATCGATAAAAAAGGTAAATCAGTTACAATAAATTAAACAAGTTTTCCATAGAACTTCCATAAAAACTTGTGAAGCACTTAGCCCCCCTTAAAATGGACCTGTCACAAAATTCTTTTTAAATTTTGTGACAATGTCGCTGCAATATTGTTATGATAAATATGAAGTTTCAAGTTTGCGACAATATTGTTATGACAAAGATACTTCCATGTAACACACCCATCATTTTCATAGGTGCCCGAAAAGTTCTAAGTCTGCAAACTAGATGGCGCTGTTAAGTTATCAGTTTATATTGTTAGATTGTATACATAAGTAATATGCCGTTTAATGTGATCTTAATATGGGATTCAAAACCAACCGTTCCAGTTAATTACTTTAGCTCTAAGGCTAGGGCTCTGTGCTGTGGTTTGACTTTAAAGTCGCAATCGCTTTTGGACCAAAAGTTTTGATTGATTATGTTTAATAAAAATTTAGTAAACTTAAAGTAATATTTGCCTCGAAACCTGTATTCCAGGTACTCGAGTACCAGAGTACCTGCTAGGTATTCGAGTAGTAGATTACCGTAGTAGTAATAATAATTTTCCTAGGTACACTCTCACTACCTTTGATACGTTAAAGGTAGTGCAAGTTTCTCACACTGAAACTAGAAAGTTTAATGTAAACTTGCTGCAATTTGCTGCAGTTGTCATGGCACACTTGAAGCAAACTTCTTTTTTTAATGTACTCGTATCAAACTTTTTGCAAGTCAGAAACAAGTTTAAATTGCTATCTGGGATAGTTTCTGAGATTTCATGATTTTTGAGATCATCGCCTTCTTTCATTCGTTTCATTTTCATTTTACACGTAGAAATTTATTTATTTACTTGACTTTGGCAGAATTGTGCGAATTATGCGAAATTCCATTAATAAAAGAAGAAGAAGATTTCATGATTAATGGCAGGTAAAGAAATAATATCTAATTATAATAATAAAACATTAACTTTTTGACTTATGGCATTATATTTAAATTAAGACAACTAAATAATATTTAATAAATCTTTATTTGGACTTTGTCAATATATCGAGAAAAAGAAAATATTTGTCGAGAAATTTTGTTGAATGGATTGGCGTCTGTAGTTTTAAGTTCTCTGATGATCGCAAGACACGGGAGTGCGAATCGTGAAGGTAATTAAAACGTTCCCTGAGATACGTTGGAGAGAAAGGATTAAACAGTATACTGTAAAGCAAGGAAACAATATGGGCATTCCGACGAAGATGAATTGACAAGCTTAGTGAGAAAATCAGATACATGATCATTTTTGCGTAATCCTAATATGAATCTTATACGAGGGCGGGATGATAAATAGCTAGCCTAGCATAGAAAAACTTGAATTAGTGTATTAAAAGTATATTTATTTTTCAACATAGTCTCCTTGAAGCACTATGCACTTCATCCATCTATGCTCTAAAGCCTTGATGCCATCCCTGAAGTGGTTTTCTTCAAGCCCTTCAAAATAACTCTCCACGGCAGACATCACCTCGCTATCATTTTCAAATATTTGTCCACCTAAAAATATTTTGAGCTTAGGGAATAGATGAAGGTCAGATGGTGCCAGATCAGGAGAATAAGCTGGGTGTGGTAGCAAATCATAATTTAATTCTTTGAATTTCGCCATCGTAGTGATGCACGTGTGAACGCGCGCATTATCCTGATGAAAGATAATTTTTTTTAGCCAGGCGGGGTCTTTCTTCACGAATACACACTTGTAATTTATCCAGTAGATCAGCATAATATTCGCCATTTATGTTTTGTCCTTTTGGAAGGTAATCAATCATCAATATACCCTTCGAATGCCAAAATACTGACGCCATGACTTTCGTCGCTGATTTCACGGCTTTTGATTTCTTTGGAGTCGGAGATCCTTTTTTCGTCCATTGTTTAGACCGAATTTTTGATTCAGGTATATAGTGGTGAACCCAAGTCTCGTCTGTAGTAACAAATCGTCGCAGAAAATCAGTTGCATTGCTTTTAAAGCGGTACAAACATTCTTGTGCTCGTTTTTTGGTTAACTGTAAGTAATCGCGGCACCCACCTTGCGGATAATTTTTTCATACATAATTCTTGAGACAAAATGTAATGCGCCCGTTCTTTAGAGATGCCTACAGTATCAGCTATTTCGGAAAGTTTCAATCTTCGGTCAGCTAAAACTGCATCATGAATTTTGATCACAATTTCTGGAGTAGTGGCACCTTTTGGACGTCCTGGACAATGTTCTTTTTGGGTGCTGGTACGGCCACGTTTAAATTCAGCCTCCCAATTTTTATGGTCGCATATGAAGGAGCATTTTCTCCCAAAACATTCTTCATCTCCGAAAAAATCTCTCCACCTTTTAATCCTTTTAAATACAAAAACTTTATCACAGCTCATAGCTCCATTTTATCCATTTTGTAGAAAAAACAAAAGAATGCTTTTTGAAGTGTCAATATTTAAAAGAAAAACTATATGATCGATTTGAAATTTGGACCACTGGCAGCTAATGAACCAATGAGTAAAATACTAAGGAAATTTTATATCGTTATTATAAATAAAATGGGATGGGCTAGTTATTTATCATCCCGCCCTCGTACTAAAATTTTGAAGCCCCTCAAGTTTATTTAGTTGCTCCTCAGTTAGATCTAGATAGCTGACATCGGCATAGTCTAGGATTGGTAGGAGAAGAGATTGTGCAAGCGCAGTTTTAGTGGTTATTGGTAAAAAGTTACGCAACCTTCTCAAAGAACTAGCAGCAGCAAAGGTTTTACAGCTAACTTTCTCAATTTGTGACCGCCATATTAAATTTTTATCTATAGCTATGCCCAAATCTCTAACACAGTCACTGGGGCTTAAAGTAATTCCACCAAATGAAATCGCAGCTAAACTTGACCAGTCAATTTTATTAGTCATTACGGGGCTACTAACTTCCATAACTTGAATTTTTGAAGGATTAACTTTTATTCCGTAACACTTACTTCAATCACAGATAGACTCAAGATCACGGTTAACAGTAGTGATGGCAAAAGGTAGTTGATCAGGATTAGCTTGGGAATAAATTTGTACATCATCTGCATAAAGGTGATAGGATGAAACTAGTTGTCGTGATAATGGAGATAGATTGCCACCCTGCGGTACCTCAGCAGAAATGTTGCACCAAGTGGAAAAGGAATCCTCAATGCGTATTCTTTGACGGCGTCCAGACAGGTAACTATGAAACCATTCAATCACTGCTGGAGATATGTACCAATGCCGTTTTTTCAGGTGCATGTACAAATGCACCTGAAAGAAACGGCATTACAGAAATAACCAATAGTGATATTTTTTGGTTGTATTTTAATTTCGAAATACAAAAATCACTTATACTTATCGTGTAACTTGAAGTTGTACTACACTTTCCACATTACTTAATTATGCAAGTAGGTATTTTTTCTTATAATTTTTAATTTTAAAATAAAACAGCC